CCACAACCTCTCCTAATGCTGACTTTTCAGCTTTAAGTCACAGTTCCCAATTTCTTTAGTTTTGGCCTCTTGAAAAGGTGGCTAAGAAACTCAAGCCCCGTTTTTTCTATCCTGTGTGGTTGTTTACAGAAAAGTCAAAGCTGAGTGGCAGTAGCTGCCTCAATTCGCAGAAATATGTTTGATGACAATGACTGGAGCAAAAATGTTGGCAGACTGCTCGTCTCTTTGGCTCCTTGGCATTTTGTGATTATAAGGCAGCTGTACAGACCCATCCAGAGAGATCTTTTGTTGCTCACAGTGTTGAAAAAAAACATCAAGAGGTAACTTTTTATCCATGTTATAAACTGGATAAACGACTTTTTGTCTGCTTACAACTGGAAGGGCATCAAGAAATGACTTTTCTATTTTTCTAAAGTGGAAAAGCATGAAAAGCGGACGTTATTACACTTATTCTTAAAGGGCATCTGTAGGGGGCACTTTTTTACACTTCATTTTATTGGGAGGGAATCTTCGTATGTTGGGAAGACATCCAGAGTGGACTTTTTTTAACATATAGTACAAACTGTAAAGGCAATAAGAGTGGACATTTTTTCAGTTTATGTACTAGAGGGGCATCTAGAGGGAACCTCTTTTTTTAACTGTGTGTTGGAAAGACATCAAGAGAGCACTTTTTATACGTTATAAAGAGTGGTCTTTTTTCCATGCATTACAAGAAGAGCATCCATCGTGTACTTTTTTGTATTTAGAAGGGCATCCAGAAAGCACTTTGTTAACACAAACTATAAGAGAGGGGTAACCAGGAGACACTTTTTAAAAACAATTATAACATAAAAAGACATTTAAAGATGACCTTTTCTGTGCATTATGTGCTTGGGGTCAAACTTTTTTGTGCTAACAGCCAGTGAGTTTCTGTTTTATTTTTATTTATTGTATTTTCTTTTGTGTGTGTGTGTTCTTAATTTTGTTCCTGTTATTTTAGAGCTGCAAATCTGGGAAACCTATACCATATTGAAGTAAAAAATTGCAAATATTGTTTTCTTAATTACTAAAATGCAGCAGAATGTACACGTCTGTATTCTTGACTGCATGACTGCACTCATGCATCATTAAGATACATGTTAGAAAATGATTGTCCCTGTAAAGTAGATTGCAGAAAACCCTGCACTGTTGGTAGAAAAGCTGCAAATGCCTTTTAAAAATAAGGGTTTTATTAGGGGGTCCTCTTTTATTTATTGAACTTAATTGCTTTGACATCAGCAAGAAAAAAAAACCAATGCAACTCCACAAAGTGACACTTGACAGCATCGTAAGGCCAGAAAGACTCCAGCTTACTCTTTGGAAACTCATTGCACATGTGGTTGTCCATGAGGAGGCCTCCAGTAATGTGAAGTTGGATGATAGATCAGTGGGCCTTTGCACCACTTCTGTATAAACTGTGTCTTAATCTTGGTTGCAAAGCTCCCCCTGGTGACCGACCATAGTACAGGCCCAAGTCCAATATTTCCACTGTAACAAACTGGGATCACGCTATAAAACTATAATACATGCTAAATAAGATCTTTTCAAACATGCTTTCTGTAATGACAGAAAACTCATATAAGGCTGATCCTTATTTTTGAAATCGGGATGTGACGTTTACATACAGAGACATAGGATAGTTCAAAAACCTGATCGTGCACGATACTTGCGTCTGTGTAAATGCACCAAGACTGTACTCAAGCTTTGGCAGGGTTGGCACAGGTCAGAACAGTTGTGGACTTTTAAGACCTGGCACTTTGTAGCCCTTAGTATGAGGCAGCTGGAACCTCCATATCATTACAGGGCAGAGTCATTTAGACTTCATAATACAATAATGTGTTGGTGTGGTCAGAATAAATTCTCCTCTGCTTACAGCAGAGACTGAGCAGCACTCTCCATTTTTGTGAATCATCCTCCGTCCTCAGTCAGGGGCTTGACAGACTGTAGACAGCTGAACATCTTCCCGTACTGCCAAAATAAAACCACACACTGGATTGTGCCCTGTTGCTGCCCTTTGACCTCCTCCATGTGAACCTGTGTATGGTGGGTGTTTGGGGGTTTCTTGTGGGACCCTGTGTAATAGCATTGTAAACACAGAGACACCTTCATGTGCATGTAAAGCATCATTTTTTGCTCTTTAAAGATTTCTATCCGACGAGTAAATTTCATGAGCACGTGCTTAACTGTAGACTATTAATTGAATTTTAATGGTAAATATCTATGTGAGTGCTGTGAGCCCACTCAGACTTAAAATAACTATTTAATGTTTATTTACATTGATTGGATGTAGAACTGTAAAAATAAACCAGTACTGATGATAAATATGGACAATGATATTGTGCTAAAAATAAGCCTATGGTAACATTATGAGGTCATAGCTAAGATCCTCCATCCTGATTGCCACACATCATAAAACAGAAAAGAGGCAAAGAAGAAGAAGTAAAGGGTTTAGCTTAAATTATGATCAGGCACTTTTACAACCTCTAATTTCCGATAATCAAAACATACTGAATATGGAAAACTTTCTGACTGTTCATTTGTACTTCAAAATAAAAGCATAGTTTTACATTGTAGGAAATCGAGCAACATGAATGCAAATGGAAAAACATCAAAATAAAAGCACACAGTGAAATCATTTTTTGAGAGAGTCTTCTCTGAAGATGTTGATAAATCATTGACTTGAACATTATTAGAAATTGATGGTAACATGAAAGTTTTTGCGGATACCCACCCTCCTCTTGCCTTTTCTCAGTTTTACTGTTTGTGTTGTTTTTAATTTCAAGTTTTTCATAACTATCATGTGTGAGGTTAAAGTCTGGTATTGTGACAGCCCTGGTTAGAAGCAACTTTAATGTAAATGCACTTTGACTCCACTGCATATATTCAACAGCTTTAGCTTTTTAGTATCACTCAAACAACATAACGAAATTGAATCTGCAGATGACAGATTACACAGGGAGCTTTGTAACTTTTGGTTTTTTAAGTATTGTGTGAAAAAGTAAACTTTCCAATAATAATCTTCCATTTTCCATTTTATTCGTAGTAAAATGTTTCAAAAAGAAACCTTTAAGAAAATGTACTTCCCCATTCAAACAGCCTTAAATAACCAGAAACAGGACAAGGTTGCCTTCTTGAGAGATAAAATAAATGGTTGTTAGTTTAGTGGAGCACAGGATTTTAATTTTCTTGCTCTTCATGTTTAATAATCCATGATGTCCCTAGCTACACTATAGAATTTATCAGATCTGACAGAGACGTCTGTTTCTTTCAAAGACAAGACTCTGTGTGTGTGTAACATGTGATCATGTGTATGAAATGTATCTGATAAATAATCAACAGTCTTAAGAACATTTATTTTGACTTTTTAGTAAAAGTTTGATGAACTTTAAATTGAATAAAAGTCTTTAATATGTGATGCAGCATCTTAAAAAAACTATCATTACTACCGTTAAAGATCCTCACTTCTCTACGTTGACACTTTCATACCTCCCAACAGATAGATATTATCACCATGTATCCCCTCACCAATAAATCCTATCAGGGTCATAAAGGCTTTTGCAGACATGATATTGGAGCCGCCCTACATTTGAGCAAAGAGGTTTTAATGCTTAAAAACTTTTGGTAAACTTTTCTGCCCCCTGGAGGTGGAGAAACGTTCCTGTCATTTCATTTAAAAAATTCATTCAGTTGTTGCAAAAGACAAAAACCAAGCTCAAACATCCATCTATGTTACATGCAGAAATGAACTTTTGATCCTGGAACAAAAAGCTTTGAGCTTTTTTTTTCTTAAGTAGTTTAATAATACTTCCATTTCTTTCTACTTCATACATTTACTAAACTATTTACAACCATTTTTGATGCTACATTAACATTTCTTTAACATTTACTTCAAGATAATTCCAAAATAGAATAACCCAAAAGGTATATGATTAACTCGTAAAATGCAACCAACTGTTAGACAATGGATGAGCAATTCAAGGCTTGTTTTGTTTCATACTCTCATGAAAAAAGTACTGTCAAGACGGAAGTCCTTGACTGATTTTAGACGTCTATATGATTAAAGTTCACCCAAAGACAAATCTCCTCCCCTTAAATCTGAGAGTACAGAAATTAAAACATCTTGGATTTTAAATGTTTTAATTAGGCCAGACCTATAAGTCTAAGCTTGTGTAAAAACTAGTCCAAACTTGCACCATATTGACCTGCCACGACTGTAAAACTCCATGTACTCCTATACGATGCTTCACTTTGAAGTCATAGTATTGCTTGAGCAAAAACACATTACCTTTGACAGGTATGGTTCAATCTTTCTGGTTCTACTTAGGATTATGTGATGTTAAATCACGGCACTTCTACTTATGCCTGAGTATTTTTAGATAACTTTATTTATCCTCGAAGGGAAATTCATTAAGATTTATGTAGTGATACTTTTACTGCAGCTAAAAACACAAAACTTCATCTGCTACTGTGACTTTAAGGGAAAAGAGCCTGTACACAACAGTTTGACCAAGTACCTAAGAGCTGCAGTGCAGCATCTTGAAGCTGAGCCTCCTACTTACTTTTATATAACTTTGGAGAAGCAGAATTTGGCTCAGCTCATTTCCTTAATTTTATCATCAGATCACTTTTAAAAAATCTGCTTTTTTCATGAACCAACCTTATATATTTTCTGCTTTTCTTTAGTCCTATATTCGTCAAGTGAGTGTCTTTGGGTGATTAATCATTCAATGTAAATAATTTCAAAGTAAAAGTCTATTAAATTCTCATTAGGTTTCATAAAGGCTCCCTTAGCACATGATTTGACTCTTTACGCACAAAATGATTTATCTACTAATAGACAAAACAACCTGAAAGTAAAGTACTAATCAGAATGAGCTGCTGCCTGTAAAAGAAATAGAAATCACCACATTGTTGTCGATGTGATCCCGTACAGAGAAAATGACATCTGCTCTGACGTGGGAAGACGAAAAGACCCACACCTCTCCTGAGCAAAAACCTTTTTTATTTCTCGTTGAAAGGAACTCGGTAGAATATTACAGCAGAACACACGACTGAAACAGCTGCCATTTCACGTAACACAGTACAGGAAGAAGGATGTAGTTCAATCTCATGTGTAATATTATATATAGTATATTTATATCAATAGAAAAGAAAACAAAAACTATTGCTCCCAGGTGTTTTTTTTTTTTTTTTCCGTATGGCATTTCTGCGTTCGTTGTGTTGAAGAGGGTAAAGTAAAATTCAACGAGAGGTTTACACACCAAAGGAAGTGGGACAATGAAAAGTGACATTCCCCAAAGCACGGGAACTTTGTGGCTTTTTTTTTTATATTATTAGACTGAGAAGTAAACTTTAAACTTTTTTTTTTTTTCCATTGCAAGAAAGAAAACTTGAAACCGCTCTCAAATATGGATAAATACCATCATACAGCAATCAGAGTATGCAAATAAAAGAACACAAGGCAGCTCCGCGGAAGAGCAGGCATGCAAAAATGATCATATTTCTTTAAAAAGGAGCACTAAAGACAGGATGTGGAGGATTGCAGGTTTTTTGTTTGCGTAGTATGGCAACTGATGGAGAGCCAATTTGTGACAAAACATGGTTAAACAGGTGGACTGAAACGAGGGGACAACTTGATGCTATGTAAAGTGAACTGGAGTGCTGAGTGTTTGCTGACAAACTACTTCAATGAAGTCGTTGCTAGAAATTGCTATAACATACTGTGTTATCAATTTGTTGTACTCTTTTTAATTTCCTCTAAGGAATAAAAGAAATGTTAGGAAAAAAGCAGGTATGAAATATCACCCTGGACAATTGCATCCAAAGTTTAGTGTTTTAAATAAGCCACTTTAGGCAGCATTATCTAATAAATGTCTTATATTTCTAAGACATATTTCAATATATCTCTTTTGAAAAATAATTCTATCTATATTTGATCTTTTTAGTAAGTAAATCTCTTTTCCAGTATATATTTTTCTTTTTTTCTCTTTCTTTAGGAACAGCACCCCATCGTGGGTTTTGTTTTCCAAAAGCACCTAATTTTTCTTACAATCAGACTGAAAGTTGCTTCAGTCGTTTATGGTCTGAGTTCAAGATTAAAGGATCCAAATGGCGCACCCTAAATAAGTCCACAAGGTCAAATCCCTTGAGACCGTAGTTCAAGCCCGGCAATATTAAGCTTTAACTCAGAAACCATGGCAAGTGCTAAAAGCCTGAGCTCACCGCGTCCTCTTTTGACATAAAAAAGGTCACAGGGTTCAGACGTGGGCCTGCATCGTAGGAGACATCATCAGTTGCCACAAACGTCTCGGCTGCAGCACCTGGCTGACCGGATCTGCACACAGAACCTCTTGAAGATGATGCACAGGCACAGGTTATGCTGATATTTCCTAAAATATATTGGACTCGTCAGCCCTGAGACAAAAGAAGCCACGTGTGAGCAGGCCTCACCACATGTCAGCTATTGGAGCAGGAGGTTAGCACCTGAGGGAAGCCCAGGAGGAGCAAGGGAGGGGTTGGGGGGTGAAGAGGAAGAAGAAGAAGAAGGGGGAGAGGGAGGCCATTTGGACTCATTTGGATTGTCCAGAGAGTCCAAATGAGTCGTGTGCTTGTAACAGATCACCTTATGTGACCTCGCTGGGCTGCGTGAATGTCCTGCGATGCCAAGGATGCCCCCTATAGCTGAGACTGCGGCACTGGGTGTGTTGTGGTTCTGTCCGGGCAAGCCGTCCCTTTCTTCACAGACAAAAACACACACACACACACACATACACACGGCCATGGTGAGTGATGCAGGCGGTCTGTCTCACTCCCAGCTCTGCACCTGCTGGTATGAGTACGCCACACGTTTTTGCACCTCCTTTTTAAAGTCACAGAGACTACAGGTCAGCGCCAGGTGAGCTCTTACCATTGGATATCAACCTGGAAGTGGGGCTGGTGACCTACTGCTGCATCTTAAGCATTGTCAAACTTAATTTGCTGGGCTACATGTGTGAGGTTATCGAATAGACAATCAATATATCTATATAGATTTTTTTTTAATATATATATGTATAGATATTTACTAATATATATTTTTTCATCAATGGGGAATCTCATACAGGAGCTGACTACTGCAGTCCGCACTCATTTATCTATAACATCCACCTAAACTTTAGGACATGATTCTCTTATATAGACAGTAATTTCTCAGTCAGATATACTATGTATTTTACTCCGTTGTTTTAGCATTTTAAAAGTTGGATTCGTCATGCACAGAATAGTCGTTCCTCTCTCTGTTTCTGTTTATAGCCAGGCTTTGCATCATGTTGTCAGCTTCATCACGAGCAGCCAGCTCTCCGTCCATCAATCGTCGTCCACGTCGTCGCCCTCCGACTCCTCACCGGCTCTCCTCTCGTACATCTTATCCCGGTGCCGCTCCTGGATCTCCTTCATCTCCTCGGCGTAGCGGCTGAAAGCTCCCCCGAACTTGCTCCACGCCTTGAAGGGGATTGTTATAGAGTTTCTGTAACTGGGCTTCACTTCGCTCACCCGCAAGAAAACTCCGTACTTGTTGGATCCCACGTCAAAGAAAAACCGTTTAGAGTCCACCATGATTGAGGTGCCTTCCGGGAGCTCGCTGTAGCCCCCGGCCCCTCCGCCACCGGCCAGATCCTCCTCATCTCCCCCGTAGTCGTCTATCAACTTGGCCAAGGCGTCGCGGAACTCTATTAAGCCCTGGGCAGGGAGTGCAATGGTTTGACCGGCCTGTAGGCCAGCCCCCGGGATGCCACCCACTCCAACTCCGAAGCCGGGGCCTCGGTTGACGGTCTGCCGGATCCGGAGAAACCGACCCCGCTGGTTCTCCTTCAGGTCGAGGTAGTATTTGCGGTTCTCGCGCACCAGGAATTCACTCTTCAAGGCCCGTCTAGGCCCGGTGTCATCCCCACCGGAAGACTGAGCGATCTGCTCCGGGGTGCTAGGCCCAAGCTGGGCGTAGTGCTCTATGAAATCCCCCAGGTAGTCGCGGAACTCTGCCGCAACTGACATGGAGAGGGTCAGCCGACTTTTGGAGCCCCCGGCGCCGACCTCGGCAATTTTGATGAACCGGCCTTTGGCGTTCTGCTTCACGTCAAGGTAGAAGCGTTTGTTCTGAATGTCCAACCGCTTCGAGGCCAACTCCTGGGTCTCCGGTTCCCGCTGGTAATGCTGAAACCCACCGCCACCTCCCCCTCCGCCGCCGCTGCTGCCACCGCGCTCACTGCCACTGTCCCCATCCGCCATCTTCGCCACCAGCAGCCCGTTTCTCTGCGTATCTTTGACCCCCACCCCCCCTTTGCTCGCCGAGCTCGTAGAGGAAACCGGACGCGGAATTCTGGATCTGATTGGTCGATAGAACTGTCACTCAGAACGCGAGTTCGAGGTCTTGTCAAATGATTGGCCAAACGCTTTGCCTGTCATTAGAGCAGAACCGCCTTCTGCATGACATTCGAGAGCATATTGTATTTACAATCTATAATAGCTCACCATGTCAGCGTCAACTTTCCAACTTGTAATAGGAGAGCATGTCTTTCAGTAAAAACTGTTGCAATAATTGGTTAAATAATGCAGTCCACACAAATGAGGTTCTAGATGAAGATAACCAGATGACACCTCTACCTTAAAATCCGAGCGTGATTACAACTGTGATTTCCTAACAATGTATTTTTCCCCATTTTTAGGATGAATGCCCCGGGAAGGACACTCCACACACTCCGTCCCGCCTACTTGTTGGTTCCGTGCGCAAAAGCAGGCACGATGAACTGGTAGTGGGGGATGGGTGAGTGTCCCGCAATCCGTTAAGCGATTGGTCAAAGCAGAGATTCGAAGTAACAACAAGACGCCTGATTGGCTGCCCGGACTCCCACGAGGGGTCTCATGCGAAAGATTTCCGAAAGGGTTTATTGTTTCTTTGCTTTCGGGAGCCCAAATTGTTTGTTATCTACTCAGCTCCACAATCAAGTGAGCGGACGGAAAAATGGTAAGTGTATCCCGGCGTGTGCTAAAAGCTCTCTGAAGTATTTACAAAGTTATTATCACGCCACTTTTGAATCTTTACACGGGAAACCCGAACAGGAGGTGTGTGGTTGAAAGCTTGCTAAAACGCTAACCGCCTGCTAACACGTTAGCGTCCACTTAACCAATATAAGTGTTTGTATTACACCTTTCCACTCAGAGAATTTTCTGTTTGAGTGGATGTTCACTTTAAAGTTGAAGTGTTCAATCGGAAGTATGGAATGGATGCCAGTGGTGCTTATATCACAACGGATTAGCACCCACTAGCGAGCTAAGTATTGCTAATTTATTAGCCTAACGGTTGGGTAACTGTTACCAGTAAACCGCAAGTCTCTGAAAATCCGGCTGTAATCACGGAGTATTGGAAATTTTGTGAATCAGAATGAGTATTAGCTGTTCGGTTAAATGAGTTTGTAAAGAAAAATCTGATATGTTTAAATTTGGTGATGAAAAGTTGTTCTGTGAGCGTCTGAAAGCGGCGCGTCTGGTTCGTGTTTGCCGCGGGCTGACAGGCAGAGTCCCGCTGACAGCTCACACTGCTGCTGCTGCTGCTGTTCCTATTAACGGGGTTTATCATGTGATGAGGTTATGATATACACTTTTAGTCGAAATTAACTTGAGCTACTCTTTTTGCTGTTGTTTCAAAGTAGTCGTTTTCGATTTTGGTTGGCGGGAAAGCAACAATGGATTAACCGGACATCTGAAACATTATCGGTTAAAGTTTGATAACACGATTAAAACCCGAACTTTTCTTCGTTTCCTCTCCTTTTAGCATTAAACAGGCAGTTAAGCAATACACAAGGTTACTTATCTTTTTATCTGCTGTGCTGCCTGTTTGTGTCACTTAAAGGAATCACATTAAGTTGGAAGTCATATAAAGTAATATCACACTTATTCGACTGTTTGTTTGCAGCCTGCATGTCTAGAAATTGTTGACAAAGTTCCATTAATAGAATGTAGAAAATGTAACTGTTCTTGAACATACTAAACCTAAACTTTTGCTCATCTGATCACCACAATATGTGAGGGTTTTGACAGGTGACTTCTTCGAACTATAACTCACTTACTGCACAACCCATGAAGTCTGTGTTGGAATATCAGTCTTAATGACTGAAGTGACAGCACCAGATCTTACCTGTGGCACCAAGGATCCCGAGCTTCTAGATGGATGAGCTGTTCTGTATAATTTAGGGATAGAAATACCGTTTAATCTGCACATGTGTCCTTAGTTTTGGTTTGGAAAGAATGCTCTTAAACTTTTCCTTCAGGCTCCTGCAAGAGGTTATCTCTCATGGAGTCAACATCAAAACAAAGACTGTTCCTGTAAATATTCAGCACATCCACCTCAACAAAAATGAGTGAAGCTCTATTGTCTGTGGAGATTATGTCTGCTTTTTTTTTTTCAAGGGTACTAAAAAACAGTAGTTACGACACTCATGTTTGACAAACAGATGGCGACTTAAAGCCAGTTAAGATCTAAAGACCTGCTGGAACAGAGGTAGTGGTAGTAATAATAATCAAATTATGCCATTTTTACGTGTAAAGGGGTCGAGAGAAGAGTTTTATTTTTTTTACATTTTGGTCCAATGTTTTTATTTAATTAGCCCTCCTAACCCAATTACTATAAGAAGTTTTACTGATTTTTGCGACTCTCCATAAAAATGCACACTATATTTACCAAGCATGAAGGTCTTGTGCTGCTCTTTGCACTGAGAATTTTATGTCCCCTTTTCCGATTTTTCGGGGCAGGTGAGGGGCCCAAACAAACCGCCATATTGCATAAACTGTCGTGTAAATTGAGAAACACAAAATTGATGCATGGAAACAGTAGAGGAAGCTTCCCGAGGGCTGTGGTGGCCTGACAGAGACAGTAGCTGAAATTAAACTTTTCAGATGGCGGCTAGAATGATGGTTTTCGAAGACACCAGGGATACATTGAGAATTTTTGTGCTGTTAGTTGTGTTGAGCTTCTCCAATGTTATTAGAATGTTAATATAAAGTCTGAAAATGAGTACAATACCCCCTTTTTAGGCATCATTCATTTCAGCTTTTCCTTCTAGTCAGAGTTCAAGCTCTTTATTGTTACCTGTTAAAAATGTCCTGAAATCACCCCATACAGGCTGGTGGCAAGGCAGGAAAAGACAGTGGCAAAGCCAAGGCAAAGGCAGTGTCACGCTCCCAGAGGGCTGGGCTGCAGGTAAATACTCCGAACTTCATACCACTTTTTTGGCTTTACTGAAAGTCTGCCCCTTTTTAGTCTGAATGCAACAATTCCCTCATGTCTCTGTCCTATTAGTTCCCCGTGGGTCGTATCCACAGGCACTTGAAGACTCGCACAACCAGCCATGGGCGCGTAGGAGCCACAGCAGCTGTGTACAGTGCTGCTATCCTCGAGTACCTCACCGCTGAAGTAAGCCCTCCCCATGTTTCTCATTAACGGTGGAAATAGATGTTAAATGTTTGAGTGGGGTGGCGCTGATATTTACAAAAATCTGTGTTTGTTGTCGTCTCGCTCTCAGGTACTAGAGTTGGCGGGTAATGCCTCCAAAGACTTGAAGGTGAAGCGTATCACCCCCCGTCACTTGCAGCTTGCCATCCGTGGTGATGAGGAGTTGGACTCTCTTATCAAGGCAACAATTGCTGGAGGAGGTGAGCTTGCAGGGTTGCAGACATTATTATTTGTTTCTTCATCACACTTGCTTAATAATGTCTTGGCACTGCTAATCGAATGCAACAATTTCTGAAGAACAATGTTTCTGCTGCTCACAGCTGCCTTTAATTAAATAAAAACAGAAAAAATAAATAGTAATCTCGCCTGTTTTCTTTGCTTGTTTTCAGGTGTCATTCCCCACATCCACAAATCCCTCATTGGGAAGAAGGGCCAGCAGAAAACTGCATAAATGCCATGTTGACCAGAAGTTTCGGGGCTTGGGCTTTGATCGGACCAGGAGTTCACTTTTGTTCTTTTGTATCATTAATATTATAGCAAACGAAGAGTGATTGTTAGGTTTTGTGTTGTAATATTTTCCCTTAACTAGAAAAAGTACAGAAAACCCCCTTAAGGACAGAAAAACCCCTTTGTTTGTTATTGTAGAACGTTTGCCTGGGGAGTTTATAATTATTTCAAATGGTGACCGTGAAATTGTTTGATTGGCCTGGGTCTCTGTAATGTTTTATACTGAAAAAAGAAATTGTTAAAACCTTTTTTATATAAAAAAAAAAGTTGTTTTGTGGTTATTTTCTTGAACTTACAATATTTACTATGATGCAGGTTTTTAAGAAGATATTGTGTCTTTTGAAAGCAAATTAGATGACAACTGCTAAATGTGATATGGTGCTTTTTTCCCTGTTGACTTACTGTAATATTTTCAACTGCACAAGGAAAGTGATGTATTAAAAGTTACATTTTTACGTCAAGATGAAAACTCCTTTAAAGCAGTTTATTGCTGTTACAATGTCTTGTTTTTGTTTCAACCAGTTCAGAAATGAAAGATTATAAATTCAGAGTTTACATGAAAATGAAAATTCAGCCTTTGCCTCACTGTGGAGTGACCTGCCTGGTACTTCTGAGCAGACCAAGTGCAGTGGCTTTGATTGAACACTGAGGAGGGAACTCTAGAGCATTTATCAATAAAAGAGTGTCTTTTTCAGATAATGTATTCAGGGGAATGATTGCATATTTGCATTATAGTCAAGTTTTGTACGAATAAAACACGTGCATGTTTGTCACTAAAGTTTTTCACACTAAGAACATTTCAGTTTGTTTTATTCCTGATTTCTGCCCTGTAGGCTCAAAGCTTGCCAGCAGGGGGAGCCACAAACATTTACAATAACATTGCCTCTCCTGAATGATCAATAAATACTATGTTCTTATCTGGGTTATTTTAACCAAAATGCTTAAAGGCTGTCAAAAAATATGTTCATAAAAAAAGAAAATAACCAGGAGATATGAGATCAGAAAAACCCCTGCTGATGCAAACCACAGGAATAACATCTTAAAGGATGCTCTAACCTAACATTTCAAAGAGCGTTCAAACTCCTTTTAAGATTACTTATTTGTAAACCCAAAAGGAATGGACATAAGAAAATGATCTGGACTCCTGAAAAAGTACAAAAATGGTTAATCAAAATAGATTTTGATTTTTTTGAATTGTAATGTAAATAGTTGGAACACAATACTTGAAAGCTGAAAGATATTGATAATTATCACATTAGCCTTTCTTTACACACCCTTTATCACTGTTCCAAAGTGCTGTACAAATAAAAGTGACAACTCAAGATAGAAAAGTAAAATTACAAAAAGACACTAAAAATTTAAATAGATTTATCCAGTAAAATGAGATAACTTCAAAAACAGTCAAAGAGACCCTTAAAGTCACTTCTAAAACATACTGGTATCTAATACAGAGGCTTTAAACGTGCATAATGCAGGCTCTCTGTCTGGTCTTTTGTCCGCGTTTGTCAGTTCCACATTTGATAAAAACATAAAGGATTGTGTCTGCATTGTCTGGAAAGAGAAACTGTCACATTCTGGTAGAGTCTTTCAAATGATAAACCCTCTATTTCGTGATAGCTTTGATATGAGGCTCAAACCTGAATGATATTCTGACTTTGCAGCACTTTTTTATCAACTTTATCAATTAAGTATCTGGTTTGGAACCGTCATAAACTATTCTGTATCAACAATTTACACAGTGTACCAACTTTTTAAAAATTGATGTTACAAAGCATCCAAATGTAGTCACTCTAATAACCTTAACAATGATGTAATCTCCTGTTTATTCCCTGTTTAACATGAGAGTAAAGATATTTATTCTGACTGTAATCTAAAACTAACAGTAAAGTTCACTTTTTTTCCAGTGTTAATAAATGATTCAAAGCGAGTGACTCCATTTTAATCAAAGTTTAATGTTACAGTCCAAGACGGCAAGATTTAACAGCTTTTATTCAAACAGAATTATACATATTTGTATGCATGTACATTGATGTATTTGAAGTTTCTCTATTGAATAGTTCCACAGGGATCATGATTCAGTAATTCATGAATAAAGCTCTGTTAGTGTAAAATCTAAAACATGATCCCAAAAATCAAAGCATAATGACAACTATATGCAAACCTAAAAGGTTGTCAAACAGATGTGATGTTTATCTACGGCTAAAGAGACACTTGTATGATGTAACGCCTCTAAACTTCGGGAGAACGTACAAAAGCTAACAAAGAAACAAAAAACCCACTTGGGACTAAGGAGATCTGTGTCAATGTGATCGACACACACCAGCATATGTGTAGTGTTAACATTCGTCTTACTCTGTGAAAACTGAGTTGTGGTGAGTGTGAGTCAGGGTTGCATGTGTGGATACTTTCTCCTCAGCCATGTTTTTCTGTTTTCTTTTCATCCTTTACTTTCTGCTTTGTTGATGATTTTTCTGAGGGCCATTCGGCTTTTACTGGAGCTTTTAAAGTGTTTGTGAAATCCTTAAAAGACTCCACTTCAGCCGGACAGCTCAGGAACAAGGACAACCGCCACACTTGAGTCAGTAATTGTCAGGGTGTAAGTGGTTTCAGAAATATTTCAGTCTTTTCTTTTGTACTGAAAATTACTCCAGTTCAATTACATTTTGTGTGAAAGTTGATCCTCACCATCTTTAGACACTAAGAGTGAAATTATTAGTTTAATTTTGAAGGTCTGTGAAAAAAAGATTTCCAAAGGTCAGAGTTAGTATGCTGCGAGTTTCTCACTGTAGCCACTGGAAGGCGAGTGTTTCCGATAAAATGATCAAATCCTGTAAAAAAGTTGGCTGTAATTTGGTTGTATTTTCTGTGCATTTTCCTGGAGCTTCTGTTTCCATGTGTTCATTTTCTATGTTATTGTTCTTGTTTTTCACTGTTTGGTTTCTCAGTACAATTTTCAGTGTTTCCTGTTTTATTTTGTAGTGGTCAGTCCCTGTGTGTCAAATCTCGTTATACTTCCTCCTTTGTTTAATTACTCACAAGTCTCACCTGTGTCCTGTCTGTCTCACCTGTTGCTCATTATGTGTTGCTCATGTGTACATATTGTCCCTGGCTGTGTCCAAAATAAATCACTCAATCCCTGACCCCTAACCCCCATATGGGATTTCACTATAGCAGCTGTTGTTTTCAAATCTCTTGAATTTTATGATGTTGTAAAGATGTATTTATTTTTTCAGAATGTTTGTGAAAATTAAAAAAACAAAACAAAACTTCAATTAATTTATTCAAAAGGCCTTATATTTTTGTGCCAAATATTGTTTGCTGCGTCATATTGTGCACGGGACTATATGACGCAACAAACAATTGTTTTTCGAAAACTGTACGGATCACTTGCGAGTGAAGTTAAGATAAAAAAAACGTACGCTAAAAATGGCAAATAGAGCTCGGGTTCTGTCTCTTCTTCGTCTTCCACTGGAGAGGCAATGCATGACGGGATGCCCACCACCGGTAAGTGACCATCGAATGGTCACTACATTTTGCAATGCTCTATGGGAAATTTTGAGTCGCCTATATGGGGCATTGAAATTGATCACTCATGTTTCAGACACCTCTCAAAATGGTGCTAACCCCCATATAGTCGCCTATATGGGGGTTAGGGATCCATTTCGGACACAGCCCCTGTCTTCCCGTCTTTGTTTATCACTTCATTGTCCATGCTGTCAGTTTTTTGTCAACTCGACCACATGTCCCTGTGGTTTTCTCATGCCTTTGTGTTTCTTTGGATTTCTTGCTCCTGGTGTTTTGGGTTTATTAGATAAGGATTTTTCCTTTGAAGTAAGTTTTTGTTGTTTCAAGTTTAGTCTTTTGATAATTAAAGTTTTGGAGCTCTGCACATGGGTCCGCCCCCCCATCACAAGCCAGGCTTTATGTTTGGACATTTCTGTGTGCCAAGCTGAACATCATGCTTCAAAAGTGGCATTCATAAATGAAAGCGAGCACCACCACTATGTGTATCAGACATCTTGAAAGATTGTTATTAATTTCCCAAAGTGCTGAAACATTTCCATAGAGACTGAAATGTTAGAAACAGATTTGTGCTCTTCTGTGTCTTAAAAATGTAACCCTAGTAACTCTATTTTTATGAGCACTTGTGGTTTTGCAACCAACATGTACCTGTGATTTGTCTGTGAATTTATACAGACATAATCTGTCTGCTGTATGAGGACAGCCTCCTTGTGTGAATTTTCCTCTTCTTAATCAGATGATATTGATATTTTATTTGAGGCCGAAAAGCTCTCAGTATTTCTGCAATTTTTCACCACTTCCTGAAACCAACATTGCAAAGCGGCATGGTACGCACTCCACCACTTGCACAGTAGCATTGTACGAATTCGGCGGGAGAGTCGCTTTGCTCGGCTCAAACAGCGTATCCCCCAGGTGAGCTCCACAATCTTCGTATGCCCATAGGCTGTATCAAGTGTCAATCATAGAAAACATGAATCCCATAATAACGTTTAAAAACAGAGCTTCACAGAAAAAAGAGGATTTGAGCACAAATCAGTCTTACAGCAACTACATGTCAACATCACAACCAGGAGAGAGAAAAATTTATATTCTGTGTAATTAATTTCTAAAGTTTGTCCACAGCTCCATAGGTATTACTGGAGGAGGCAGGATTTATGACCTAAACTGCAGCCCGTCACCAGAGGGTGCTGTTCTTGCAGTGGCTTCACCCAGCCAGGAGGCAGCCGGCGTCCATTCTATAGACAGTCTACGGTTGGGAAACATTTACTACACATCAATTACTGAGGACAAGCTAGTGAGCTCCATGTGTGAGCCTGCTTAAGTGACTGAGTTTTTAAAGCTGCTCTTGAAGCTGTTTTATGAAGAAATGTAATTATTTTTAAATAACAGGGGGTTCAGTCATTGATTTCTTTGAATGTTTGCACAGTTGAATTTGTGGTCCTTTTAAGAAAGTGTAACAAAGGTCTGAATATGAGATAATCTAAGGCTTAATACTTATTTCTAAAACCACAGACAGCTGATCCTGATATTCTTCATGAGTGTTATTTAATGTAACGTTTGTAAAAGTATTTCGTTTTCTGTATTAAACTCTTACAACCATCAAAACATCAAACTAAGATCTTCTACTTTGTAAACCATCAACGCCTCAGCTTCTTCCTCATCTCATTATTTCCTCTTCAGTTTCCACGCTGAAGCGTTAGAAAATCTCAGAATAATATGAGCTGTAAATGACTTGGAAGAGACAAGTGACGAGACTGCAAAAGACCAAGCAACACAGAGGGTGACAGGAACAGAAAACTGTTATTTAACAAAAAAAAAAAAAAAAAATCAAAAACCCGTCACAACTCCTTCTGAAGTTCTTGTTTGTGCGTGTCTGACTCAGCATACTGACTGAGATAATAAAACACGGCTTTGGCTGCGAGATGGCTCACAGCCCCGCACAATGTTATTATGATTCAAATCAGATCTGAACTTAAAGAAAGGGGCAGAAAGACCAGCAACATCCTGAGACCCACAGCTGGACCTCAGCCATGAGTCAGACTGATGTGAAATGAGGTTCCTGCAATAACCAGCCTCTAATGAGAGCATTTGTAGGATTTAACAGGAGACATGTGTGCTCCATCAAATCTGACTCAGACTAAATTTAATGGTTTTGGTTTACTGCCATTGAAATGAGTTGCATATATTGAACGCATGATAGTGAACAGTCCCCTAAACAGCACAGACTTTTATTTATTTCACATTTTCCTCTTTAAAGTTTAACACTCTGTTAGACTGCAGTAAATCACAAACAGCATAAAGAATTGAAAAACTAACAAATATCAGAGATAAGATCAGGGTTCAAAGAGTCCGAAAATGCTGAAACATGTCATTAGCTCTGCTGGCTATAAATTGACTTGATTGAGAGGTTTTGAAACAATCAAAGTTTAGTCATTTTGTTGTGCCTGACCTCTAACGTCATAGAAATAATAAAAATATAACACTTATAGTGAAATACTGTCCGGACAACAAAGCTGAAGATCATTTTTGCAGGACAAGCATCAGCAGTCTGACTCCACGACTTACACACAAAGAGTAATGAACTCATACTGTAAAAGATCGGCTATTTTTTTGGACATAATTACAGCATTTGCACTTTTCTGGTGTTTTGGTCTGATTCATATTATCCAAGAAAGTCCTTATCTGGCTTTTATGATGTGATGTGGTACTTCAGCTGTAAAGGTCTTTCAAGCTGGACGAATCAGTGGATCTTAAATCATCTGACATTTTAAAAAAGAATCGCAAGAGTTTGAGTAAAAACCCAACAAGAACCACAACTGTGAAAACGAGCGGTGCAATTTGTAAATAATGAAAAACGAGGTCTGTCCTTCACACTCTGTTTCTGACAGGTAATCTCAAGACAAGTTTCCCGATTCACAGGAAATCTGACACCTATCAAACAGAGCATTTAATCCTGAGGATTACTCCTCCATCAGAGTGTCATATCTGAAATACAACTGAGGCTTTGAGGTGGTTATTAAACTGCTGCAAACTCAGGAACGCCGACACATGCAGTCAACGTTTCTGTGATCAAACGTGACGGCAGATGTATTGTCCACATGAGTGCGAGCCTCAACGGGAACACATGAAAGAAGCAGCTGCTTCTCATCTTCAAAGAGAGACAGAGAGAGAGAAAGAGACTCATTTGTTTATTCCTACATCTCTATCTCTGTGTCTTTACAGTCATCTCTGGAGGACCACAGCAGGGTGACAGACAGAGGTCAGCCTGCAGCTCCTGTTCTCCAAGAGGTGCCTGAAACTCACCATATGAACAACAAGAGTGCCAAAGGTTGTCATCTACAAATGTTTAAAAACAAGTTCATGTTGAAGGCTGAAATAACCAGAGATAATATTGGACCAGTTTTTTAATTTATGAAGCATCTGCTACAGTTTTCCTGGTCTTTTACACAAACACGTGCATTTCATATTAAAGAAGAGGGACTTTGATGAGTAAATTTTTTACTCCTATGATCCCGCAGGTATCTTCACCTTCATGAATGTTAAGCATATATTAAGCTCATTGATTCAGTAGGATAATGTAAATCTTACTGACGTCAATCAACCGTACCAATTTTTTAAAATCTGAAACTCCAGGCTTCAAAGCTTTTGATCGCAAACAAGTTGGTGTTGGGTCCGAGTTGAGTATTGAGTCCTCAAGTCTGAGTTGAGATTTTGTCATTGAAGAAAGATCCAAGCAGAGTCTCCATAACCTGACTCTGGCCCTGAGTTAAATCCTTGTTATTATTATTATTATAACAGTTCAGACCAATTCTAAGCTGAACTGAAGGGGATATCTCAGTGTTTTAAAGTAAGTTTGTGTAAGTTAATGAGAAACAGTCGGGAGGACCGGTTTAGAAACTCGGCTACAGGTTTCTGCAGACAGTAGTGAATCTACCCTGTTTTGAAACACTCAAGTACTCATCATAGTTAACACATACACTCTCCTCAGAATTTTTCAGCACTTTATTATTATTATTTTTATTATTTACTAATCTAGCAGGGATGAGATTCAGTCCAAAGACTGAGATCCAGTCTTCTGTGCTGAAGATACCACGCTTTCATTTGTCATGGGATTAATAGAGCCATTAAGTGTGTCCAGGTTGGTTGTAACATTGGGAGAGCCCACTTGTGGTCGTGATGGATGATGGACACTTGTAATGAGGGGGGTGGTTCTGGGACACTAGAGTGAGCTGTTAAGTCTCTCTCAGGTGTCTTGGGCCTAACTTAACAAAACATCAGAGAAAGACGGTTCACAGTTGGCATCTCAAACCCATCTGTCTGGTTTATCTTGTGCTGTGGGAGACATAAGGAGTCATTTGGTGGGCTACAAGACTTTCAGAAGAGGGTGAAATGGGATAGGTTTCTTGAGGTAAAATCAGTAAAGGCTCTGCTATAAAGGAACTAAGAGGACAGATCAAGAAGTTAGTACTTAGATTTAAACTTTTATTCACCTACTGTACATCTAAACCAACTATTCTTCAAAACAAGACTCAAACTTTGATGCAATGACATGTTACTTAGATCTAGTCCCTCCAGATTCTCTGAATCAAAGTGGGAAATCCGCTCTGTCTCTGAATAGTCTGGACTCACATCTGCAGCCTTTCAGGTGTGATTAGTTACAGTGTGGTGGTGAAACTGGAGGTAAGTCCCCCGCAGAAATACCTTCATGATGAAAGGAAACGCAGGCCTCCTTTGATCGAGGATGTAAAGAACGTGTCCAATAGACGCTGACAGAGAACATCTTTATTCACTCGGAGAGAGAGGGGCGTTCAGAGAGACTTGTCAGGGACTCTGTGTGTCTTTATGCTTGACACTTTTAAACCCTTCAAACCTTATAAACCGGTCTGTTTTAATATACTAAAACCAGGCATGAGATTTTGGTACCGAACACATTTATTAGAAGACATCTTAAAAAACACAAACTAGCAACGGCTCTACATGATCATTTTAAGTAAAAAAAAACAAAACAAACAAAATGCTACTAACAAAAGAGATTTAAAAAATACAGTCTCAGAGTCAGTCAGAACTTCATGGACCAGTAGGGTGACACGTACTCTGATGGACTTAACAGGCGACAGAGGATGTCTTGAAACTGACTCAGACTGTAAAAAGCAGTTTTTAAAGAGCTGTGGTAAGTTTGGCATTTTATTTTACAACCCAAATATCATAGAAGTTTCCAAATCATAGAATCCTTATATTTCACTGAAAATGGTGCAGAGACAACAAATCTGATGTCAGAAACGAAAAATTTTCAAAACACATTAGATGTTCATTCTAAATGCCGCTTTTAGAAAGTTGGGATAGGGATGACAAAAATTGTATAATGCTAATAAAAGAACAAGAGGAACATCCACTCACTGATTGATTTGTAATGTATTGATAAGTAACATGACTTCTACTAAAATGGGAATTTGAGATGTTAAGTTCCTCAGAGGTAACTACCGTGCTTTTGAAGCACTTTTTAACCCAGTATTTTTAAAGTACTGAATTAATTTAATTGACGTTCTTCTTGGAAATCATGGACATCATGGACACTTCGCTCCAAAGAGGGGAGGGACCACCACGCTTTTCATCATCTTACAGTTTAAAAGCTGGCATCCCTGAAGGTTTGAAGGTCCTGACTTGGCAGCCTGAACTGTTGAGCAGCTGGAATCTCATACTGGACAAGAATGGGGAAATGTTTTGTGCTCAAAACTCAAGACTTGAATTCCCTAAACTTCTTGCAACTTGATGGTTAACATGCTGTTGTCCCAACTTTATTAGATAGGTGGTTCAGTTTCAGCATTTGATAAGATGTCTTAGCACTATTTTCATCTCAGTTTATCTATAACATTTCACGGCATGAGATGCAGCCTTTATTAATAGTGTCCCATGGGTAAGATTGTAATGATTGCCATGCATCTGCAGAGAGGTGCATGCATTCTTGGCTTCATGTTATTTTTCTTGTTTGCAGGGCTACACTGATTTAAAAAGAGTTCTGCTTTACTTCCAAAAAGATAACAAAAGCCTAAACTCAAACATGTCTGCTGACACAAAAACAGCTCTGTACATTGGAAACTGTCGATTGACTTTTTTGCAATCAGAGTTTATAGTGCAACAATTAACGAGCGGAATCATCTCTTCTTGCCATTTCTACGTCACTCCAAAGTCTGCACGTCTTACAAACTCCACAAAAATGAGCATCAAAAAGCAGTTGGTTTGATTACAGCTTTGAAGTCATGTATGGCACAGTTGTCGTAAAGAGAGTCTTTTCAAGGAGGCATCATGGTTAAGGTTTGGATGGGCCACAAGCAGACTGATTTCTTCACGTATCTTTACACGCACGTGCTGCTTTTGTTGGCCTCACTGAACCTGAGTAAGTATCAACAACAAGAGACTTCGACTAAACTAAAACCCTTCCACTTTGCTACCTAGAAAACCACACAAACAACGATTATTTCTCTCCCAGTGTCCCTGAATATGTCAGTGTCTGATCTCCACAGTCACCTCATTATCAGCACCATGAAAACGACCTCCCAACCATCTCAAAGAACAGCTTGTTGGGCTTCCTGAAGTACCGACAGAGCTTCTTAAAGGCCTGGATGCTGAGCGGGGCATGCGGCCTGCCTTTGGACTCATCAAGGCACTTGTCATGTCCTGATGAAAGGAGGCAGTAGAAACCCTTTGTGGTGTTGTAGTAGAAGTTGTCGGGGCTTATCCTGGGTGGGAGGTCTAGAAACCTCTCAGCTTTTCTCAGCTCAGGGAAGGGATCCCGAATGAGTGCATCACCATCCACCACATGGATCTGCTCCCTTGGGAAGACCTCCAACCAGCGAGCCAGGTGCAGGTGGTACAAGCTCCTCTGTAGCGCCTTGTACCCAGGGTCAATGTGGCCCTTGAAAAGCAAGAGCTCCTCGAGCGGCTGGTAAGGTTTGTGGCGGGTCAGGCGGTTGTGGAGGACCTGTGTATAGTCAGATACCAGCCGCTCTGCAGGGTCCCTGACGATGAGCATCAGGCGGACAGCGGGGTTCATTTCCCAGACTCGTGCAGGAACCTGTGGAGCCGCAAAGTAGCCGGGGGTTTTCTCTACCGTGAGCTGACCAGGGAGGGTGAAAGGCATTTGAGATCGGTACCAGGCCAGGCCTTGGCGGTAGTGCTCCTCCACGTTGAAGTAGTGCACCTGATAGAGGGACAGAGGGTAGTGTTACCACGGTAACAAAGAGTAGAACATAAGATGTTCCTTTAAAAGTCCCACAGGGGGAAATTCCACAGGGGGAACATGCATGGCCATGGGAAGTTGTGGCACTGCAAGTGTAAAAAAAAAGTCTCACAATAAAGAGTATCACGACAGAGAAGGATCTGAAATACTGAATTTTAATTCTGGGGGAAAAAAGTTGAGATGTAGTTAAAATCTTTAAGTAGAGTTCTTCTTCTCATCTTCAACACCAGAAAACTAAGATAAAACGTGACTCTGTGTCTTCTATTACCTCAGTTTTAGCCACCTCCACACCCGGGTGCAGGTTGAGCATCTCCAGCAGAGCCCTGGTTCCTCCTTTCCTCACCCCAATGATAATAGCACCAGGGAGCCGCTGCTGGGTGGCATTGTAAGAGGAAGAGAAGGACGACGAAGGGGAACGGGCAGGAGGGCTGGAGCCCCCGCTGCGTAATTCCCTTAAGCACACAGACAGCTGAGCCTGCAGCAGCAGAAGCACCAGCAGCGCTAGCAGCACCGTCCACAGCATGATGCCACACACAGACACACGGACAGAGGTGGGGCGGGGGTTATGTGCACACACTCATGAAGCTCCTGATCATTAACAAAGACGTGCTTGTTATCAGTCAGCAGGCAGCCTCAGGAGGGAGCTCTTAAACTGGACAACCTGTGGAGCCAGAAAGAGAGTAATGTTTGTTAGAAATATAAAGATATATTTCATTTAAGGGTTGTTTCATAAAAAAGCAATATTAAGGTATTGTATGATATTTATCAAACTTAAATGGCATCTGTAAGAGTAGTTAAAAACGTGCAGATGCACACTTAAAAAACATCCAGTTTAATTAAGTCTTAAATCCTTACCCATACACACAATAAACTGTTTGAACCGCTTTATTTAAAGCTCCTGCATTGAGTTTTTGACCCTTATGAAATTGACTGACATTCATATTGTTGCTTTTTCATGGTATTTAAAAGCAAACAACACCATTAGCAACAAAATCTATGATTGTTGTGTCTTCATTTTAGCGTCTGAAATGGGTGCGAAGGGGAAGGTGTCAGCCAAGCACCTGAACAAACAGCCATGTTTTTACAGTTTCCACATATAAAATGCTGTGAGCATATCTACTGCAGCTCAAGTGATACGAATGAATGAATGAAAAAAGTACAGTGTCTTTTGTATGATGTCAATCTTTATTGTTTGAAGAGATAGATTTTGTTTTAAAAAGTTAAATCAAAAAAGTTAAAAAGGAATTACTGAAGGTTTTATTGAAATAAAAAGCATCCGGACCAGATTAAACCTCCAAACCTTGTCTTTGGAAATCATAACTGTGAAGTGTTTCCTGTGAGCAGAGGAGGATGCAATGTTGATAACAGGCAAATTATAAGAGAGTAGTTACTGAGCGTTTCTTTTCATCTCACGTCCAACCAGCAGTCGATGAGTGCACAGTGCCCGCTCAACTGTTTCATGATCCCATATGTCTGAGACGGCTCTGCACCCTAATGTGCCATTTTACAAAGTCCCCGTCCTTGCGGTGCTGGTTGCAGCTCAGAATATGGAACTTTGATTTGATTATGATGCTGTAAGATGCTAAAATATTAATCTACATCTAAAGCAGATGGGGGGTGCATTGAAAATTAATGCTGTTATGAGGTTTAGGGTCTCCTCATGGAGCGCTAACACCCCATTTTTCAAGAAAGAGGACAAGAAGAATCCTGGATGTCTGAATGCTGAATAAGTCTCTTGGTGTTTTGGTGCAGTGTGGATGAAATCAGGTCTTTTATAACCAGTCCAGAGCATCAGCAGTTTAGATTTGGCTTTGGTTATAAAACAGGCTGATGCTGAAGTGCGTGGACCTGCAGGGAAAGACCTCCCAAGCTCAGATCATACTGACTTACAGACTAAAAGATGTCTTGCTTTGAGGTGATGTTTTCCCTGTGTTGACACTTCAAAGACCCTGTGTCTCTGGAGAGGATCAGCTGCTTTACCACAGTCTTTTACAGCTCCTTAGGGTCAGTGTTATTTGTCAGTGCTGATGTTAAACTCAGGTCAGTGAACAGAAACCTTTTTATTTTGATGATGTTAAAGTCTGTTTTAAAATATTACATTACTTGCAGAGGTCCTGATTGATAAAGGGGGTCTCGTGATGACACTTTTACTGAGTGTCATCCAAAATTTAACAGTTGAATGAAGTGTAACTTGTTGGTTCACTAAACTTGCTCCATTTTGGCGCCTTAGTTGACTAATTTCTCCCTGAATTGTGCAATAAAAAGTCCTTCCTCTTTGATTTTTTGGAACTGACAGTAAAATCCTGTCATTTTCCTGCAGCAGTTATGAGAGCTTACATTATTTCTGTACTTGAGTAAATCCTATTTCTCATATCAAGGCAGGAGATTTAGAAAAAAGTACCGCTTGGTGACACTGGGGTCATCAATGTTGCAACCTTGGCCATCTCTGGTTGATTGAGGATGTTTAGCTGTTGAGGAGTGTGTAAAAGTTTTCAGTCAAGTTTTGGTGGCTGCTTGCTTTTGTTTTGCGTGAATAAGAGCTTCAAAAGCACGGAGGAGAGCGGGTTAAAGAGTGAAAGCTTTTAAACCCAATTAAATTGGCTTTTAAAAGTCTCAAATCTTTAGACAGTAATCCTCACCCTCTTAGTCATTACTGTCCGTGTGGTCGGAAAAACTCCAGGTGAAATCCATAATTACAGTATAACTCTTTAACCAATCAGCTTGGTAAACCAAACACTGAGTTCACATTACTTATGTAGCTTTGTCTTTCATTTTTAAGCTGAAAAGGGTTCATTTTTGGGGTCTGGCTTACAGCTGCTGAGCTCCGATGATCACCAGTTTATCCCCACCCTCAGATCTAAGCTGATCTGTTTTTCATTAGCTGTGCAGCTTAAGTGCGTCTGAGGCCTGTTTCACTCAAGCTCTGACCTGTTTCAGCTGCTCACAAATGGAGCAATGTGATCCAAGTTTTGTGAAATCGTCTGTAGATTAGCAGGATTTAGGAAATTGTGCGGTTTACACCAGCAACAGTGCAGTATTGTGCTTGAAAGTTTTTGTTCTTGCAGTGATGCATCATACTTTTGTACACAATTCAATCAGACTAACAAAAAAGACAGAGTGAATCATACACTGTGGTACTGCAGCTCTACCTCAGTTTAGTAAGTTAACGCACCTCTGATGTCTTTTTCAATCGTCCTTTGAGGATAGAAGTAACTGCCGCCTGGATCGTACTCTCAGGTATGAAGCACTTAATGGTCTATGTGCCCTAACTGGTTTAGATACAATCCAGTACACATATGAAAACTTTAAAGGTCCTGTAAAAGAGACTAATTATCAGTTTTGGAAATCTTCAGGCTGTTAAAAACATTGTCGCTGTTAGCCAGGTCTCAAACCGTGCCTTTTTGCCTCTGGAAAGTAAGGTTGACATGCATGTTGAGAAAGCACTGCTCATTCACATTAAAGCTCCTGTGAGAGACTTTCAATTTGCATCTATTTTGTCCCCCTCCTATGGACAAACATTCTTTGCTTAACTTATAATGTCTGACAAAAATCTCATCCTCATGGTCAATCATTTATTGTTGACTTTAATGTATTAAAGTTTAAAACTGCTGTTTCTTATGATGCCTTGCTGACACCTACGAACAATAACAAACAATCTTCTAACTTACAGTCTTGTTTGCTTCTATATATCATAAAAAAGACTTCAATATAAATTTCTGTCTATTTTGACAACATTAAAAACTAATCACAGGAGCTTTAAGCTTATTATTATTATTATTATTATTAGTTTGTATAAAAAATAACTGACGGTGAAAAGAACAAACATGTATATATGTGAAAAACTTCTGCATTTACAGACCTCAGACCCAGATGATTTCTTTACGTGTGAACTCTACCTTGTGTGGACTCAGAGAGAAAGCTACATTGACAGCATCCACAGTCATCATTTCGGTCCTCAGTTAAAACTGTGTGCTCATTTTGTGTGTATGCGTGTGTGTGAGAGATAGAGCACAGAGACAAAGACAGGAGGGTTGTGAGCAAGTGTGCGTGTATGTGTGTGCGTAGATGTGTGTGTTGCACAGCAGGACACATGCCTTGTGTTAAGTGGCTGAGTGAGTCCCTTGTGACTCCTGTGTTCACTGGTTTATTCCCCCGCTGTCACCTCACTTTGCTTCCACCTCACCTCATGACCTTCCTCCTCTTCCTCTTCCTCCCCTTTCTCCCTCTCACCTTTCCTTGTCCTCTTTCACCCTCACCTTTGTTCTCTGTTTCCTTACCCTGCTTCGACACTCTCCTTTTGAACCCTTGCTTGTTTGTGTGGCTCCGCTAACAAACCCCCCGCACCCTGCTAATGGGGATGCCCTGCAGCAGCCTCTCAGCTGCTCATAAATAAAACACAAGCTCACCTTTCTGCCCTGAAATATTTTTGACTGGATGAACTTTTAATCTTGATGAATTAGAAATGAGACAGGCTTGGATTCAAAATGAGAAACATTTCTTCTCACTTGTCAAATATGTCTCGTCCCTTATTCACCCTCTATACGTTTGCTGCATTATAAATACATCTTGGAGGTTAGACACATACTGTATTTTCAGACTTTTTAAATGATTCCTGGAATGTTTAACCTAGAAATTGTAATATAGTCTCATTTTCTTTTTGTGTTTTTGTACACTGTGTATCAGTGAGTTTCTAATTTCTTCTGATTATATGTACAATATGTACGATTCTTGTGCAATACGAGACGATGCGGTACAATATGATACAATACAGATTCCACTTTAATGTGGTTGTGTGTCTTTGACCAATTTTACAGTCTACACACTGAGAAAAAAAATCTGTGTGTCTCTATTTGAATTTGTGAAATGTGGATGTGACATTACTACATATGCTCCGATAGTGGAAAACACTGACTTTATTAAGTTTTTTTAACGAGTGGCCAATTTTTTCCCCTTGGGTAACAAATTGAATTTATTTAGCATGAGATGGAGATCCACTCTAAATTTGATAGTTCTTACATGTTATCCAAGCAGTAACTCAGGGCTGTAAAAGCACTTTTGGACACATTCACACTCCTGGCCCTGTAATGTAAATGAGACACAATCAAACTGAAAAAGGCCGCCTCTTCTGGCACCACTAAATGTCCTCACAGCTCCCTTTAGGAGTCCCATATGAGATCTAAGTTAGTTTCCTGCTCAATGAGGCTCACATGAGTCATTGCAAGTCCTTCTCTTCCCCGCTTATTGCTCCTTATGACTCACATTACCAAGAACAAACAACAACAACGTCAATGATGCATAAAGTCTCCATATTGACAAACACAAGCATCTTAAGCAGCTGGAAAGAGACATGGAGAGGAAGAGAAAAAGGGGGATGGTGGAGTGTAATTATCTGTGAAAAGCAAATGCTGTCATCTGCATATTGAGTGAATCTGAGTGTCCTACAAGTTTAAGAGTGGGTATATTCTCGTGTGTGTGCGTGTGTGTGTGTGTGTGTGTGTGTGTGTGTGTGTGTGTGTGTGTGTGTGTGTGTGTGTGTGTGTGTGTGTGCAGTGCCTTCACTGTGCAAGCACGCAGCATGTGGCTGCTCAAGATCCAGACCCTTGGAAATATCTTTTTACTGAGCAATGGTATTTAGGGGTGGGGGAAGGATTATCCTGTACAGAGAGATGGAGGGTGGCAGTGAGGGAGGAGATGGCTGTGGGGCTGAGGTACCGTTAGAGTGTTTGTGTGTGTATGTGTGCATGTGTGCATGTGTGCATGCGCACTCTGCAGGAGGGTGTGTGTAAGGCAGCAAGGAAGATTGTCACTAGTAGGGGGTCGCATGGTAAAACGGCTTGGATTGCCAAGCCTGTCAAATCAGTGAGGCTGGGAGAGCCAGATAAAACTCTCCCCTTCCTCCTCCAATTTCTTTCCCCTTCCATTCAGTCCTCACTCATCCTTCTCTCCTTCACTCTCTGGCCTCCTTTCTGTTTCTTTATTTGGTGATAGAGGTGTAGTACTTAACATTGGTTTGGGTGTGGAGACTAATCTTAGGACCTTTTTTATGATTTTCATTTCTAGATCTAGATCCAGTAAGATACAATATGATGTAGGATACAATATGAAACCACATAAGAAATGACAGGATACCATACAAAACGATATGATGCAATACTTCACGATATATTATGATAAGATATGATACATCATGATACAATATGGTATGATACAGCATGTCACAATATATCAGGACACATTAGGATACCTCACGATATATGATACGATATGATATGATATTACCTGATACATTTGGATGTGATACGATCCATCACAGTATGTCATTGATACCACATGATACATCAAGATATGATGCGATATGATATGACATAATACAATACGGCGTGACACAATAAGTCATGAAGTATTTGGATACATCAGGATATGTTACGAAGCGATATAATACATGCGGATATGATATACAACATCATTGACAATACGTCAAGATACATCAGGATGTCATGATGCACCACGATACAATATGATCTATCACAGTACAATGCATCACAATACGATATGATATAATACATCATGATACAATAAGTCCTGATAGGATATGATGTATCATGTGTTGCAATATGATATAAGTCATGATACATCATGATATGTCACAAAACAATATGAAACATTATAGCACGACATGGAACAATGCAATTTTATATCAAACAATAAATTGCAATACATTTTATTCTCACTTTCCAGCTTTAAAACAGTCTTATATACTTAATTAGATATTTAAAGGCCATAGTCAATATTATATCCTTGTGATACCAGAAAAGCAACGAGTTTCAGATAAATTACAGTATCAACTTGAATAAAAGCCAGTTTTTTTTCCCTTGAACCACAGCTGACATTCAGGAATTTGTGACAAAACCCTCTTAGGTAGACACTTCATACAACACAACCACTGTTTTGAACTGAGCACAATTTATGGCAAATTGCAAACCTGGGAGCAATTTAGCATTAGAAACACTGTGGTGGACACTAAAATTAACACTCTTTTAAAATTGCGATACTATGGGGCACCGATGGCCTACTGGTCCAAGAGCCTGATCTACTAAAGGTTTGCGTGTTCAAAAACACGTGCAAACTTGATAGGGCATGCAAAGTTGATCTATTAACCGGGTGCTGTAAGGATTGCATCTGTCAAATGAGCAAAACAGCATGCACAATCGATGTAGCGTGTTTGCCTTCATGAATATACAGAATGTAAGTAGATCATCAGAACGTGCAAAATTCTGTGAGGAGCAGATGCAAATGAAATCATTTAGCACCTGCAATGTAATTTATCAAATCCAGAAAGCGTTTGTGCAAACTGTGCACAAACGTGCAAACTGGCACAGCGCTACACACAAATGGCTACGGTCATTGCGGGAAGAAGGAGGCAAAAGTGTAATGATAGATGACGGACAGAGAGAGAGACTTCCGTGTGTGTGTCAACATATTTGGACTGTCAGAAATAAAAATAGTAGAGTGATAGCAAGGGTAATGTCATTTTTGAGCTGCTGGGTGACTTAGGGCTGATTTGAAGCCAGTCACAAAAATGATCCATGTCACATCTCCTACTGAAAAACTCCTCGTAACACTGCATTTTCCTGCGTCTGGATCATTCCCGCACACCATCACAGTTAGCACGTCTCCTAGAGTAGTATTTCTGGTCTGCTGTCCCAAGTGTTGAATGCTATGTCACAAGGATTGGCAAGTATATCCAGTTCCTACGCACTCTGGACACAGTAAATGATACAAAACATGCTAAGTCTTGGGGTTCTGTTGTGTCTTGGAGACTGAGTGCTTGGGAGCTCCGAGTCTAAAAGAGTATTTGAATTTTCTAGTAAATGACAGTTTTGATAAATAATTAGGTCAAACACATAACAGTCAAAAAATGTATCTCTTTGTCTTATTCATTTTCAATTGTTTTAATCCTTTTTTTTATTTCTAATATATTTTCTTGCATCCGTAAAGCTTTGAATTGCCTTGTGTATGAATGGTGCTATACAAATAAACTTGTCTTGCCTTTTTTGGAGTAGCTGGCGTGCCAAAAATGACAATAGGTGCAACTTCATGGCTTCAAACTTCATTTTTTGTCCACGACCACCGTGCTCTCACAAACTCTCCATGGTGACAGCCGGTAGCTTTTACACCTGTTATCAATTGCACACACAATGATAGTAGATCACCTGCAACACGCCCACTGATCGCACATGCAATTTTTTAGTTTGCATAAGTAATTTAGCACCCCTTATTTGGGATCTTAGTGGATCAGGCCCAAAGTATGCCGTAACAAAAGACTCTGACATACTGCCATTCTAAGTTGTTCTGCCTCTGATCCACCATCAGAGTTAGTAACAGGGGGCAGAGCTGAAGGGCGGCATAGCAAAGTGTTGGAGCAGACAGGGCGTAACAGCACTGTGTGTGTAGGTGCAAATCTGACTTTGTGTGTATCCCACTGTTATCGCTGTATGTTTACAAGCCAGGCCTCTAAGAAAATAAATTGGGACACCAATATTATGCTGTAGTAGAGTTCAGTGTGTAAATACAATGGTGATGAGATGGCAGATGTTGCAAATTCATTGAATAAAAGAAATCAAAAACATACGTACAGCCAATGTCATTTCAGCTTTTCTTTATTGGTTGGCTCCTGTATCTCTCTCTTTCTCTGTCTGTATTTCTGTCTGTCTCTCTGTCTCTCTCTCTCTTTCTCTCTGTCTCTTTCTTTCTGGCTCTGACCTTTGTCGAAGTCTGTCCATCTTTTACCCATCAGCCCCCTGCCGCTTTTCAAATTAGACTCTTTGAAAAAAAAAACTGTCTGTGCAGCCCAGCGGCCCACACCCACCAGGCTTTCACTCTCTCATCATTTTATTCACTCACACATGCATAATACATACACCCCCCCACACACACACACATACACACACACACCCTGAAACACCTCCCCCTTCATTCCCCTTCTCCTCCTTCTCGTTGCATCTTCAGTCGTGCTGGTACGCTCTGAGATCTGGGTCAGCCATATCACACACCAAACTGTGCATGCTATATAGCCTCTTTGGTGTGTGTTTAATATGTGTATAAGCTGGCTAGTGTGTGTGTGTGTGTGTGTGTGTGTGTGTGTGTGTGTGTGTGTGTGTGTGTGTTTGAGTGAGTGAAGGGTGTGTGCTGAGCAACGTGGGGATTCAACTGTTGTTGTTTTATCACAAAGTGTGCAGAGGGAGTCTGATTAAGGAACCCAGTCTTATCAAGGGAATGTGTGTGTGTGTGTGTTTGCAGGGCGCTTTTTTGTGTGTTTTAAAGTTTATGAATATTAATATTATGTGTGTGGGGGAGTTGAATAGAGAAGCGAAGCATGCTGGGAGTATTTGTAAATTTTGCACTAATTTAAAGGGGTGTTGACCCAATTGTATGAACTCAAACTAATGTCTGCATGTGAGGGGTGTGTACTTTAGCATGTGTGTGTGTGTTTGCACCTGGCTCAAGCCAATTATGTTATGAGCCTTGTGGTGCTTGGTCATTACTGTGAAATCATGGGTTTGATCGAGTTTAGGGGTCAATGCTGTTTATTTATGGTTGGAAAAAGGATGCAGGAGCTAACGCACTCATGCATTTATCACTCTGTTACTTCTTTCATCAACATTAGCAGAGCTGTGGCACCTCCACTCATCTGGGAATTGATGATTATCTACATACTTTACATGAATGTTAGTTTGAGTAAAACTGATGGCTGTATAATAGTTGCATCTTCCTCTATCCCCTCTTTAAACCCAATGCAGTCTTGGCAGATGACTGTCTTACATGAGTCTGGTTCTACTCAAGGTTTCTGCCTGTTAAAGGAAGTTTGCCCTCTCCTCTGTAACCTGCATGTGGTTGAAGATGAGTGTGTCCGACCTTAGGAGATGGGGCTCAATCTGATCCTCTCTTTACATTAGGTCTTTGTAAGTAGATCCTGGTCTAGACCAGCTTTGGGATAACACATGTTGTGAATTGGTGCTTTATAAATTAAGATTTACTGTGTCCTTTAAACAGCCCACAGGAGGAAAGTGTTGTTTGAGTTCAGCTTCAGGGGTCCCACACACTCACACTGAGCTTAATTCACACCATCCCCACCTTGCTGCCTTCATCCTAACACACACACACACACACACACACACACACACACACACACACACACACACACACACACACACACAGACATAACATATGTGGCCTCTCTCACAGTGACAGTGACCCCGACAGCTTGGCCTGACAGTGAGAGGAGACTGACCCGTCAGAGCGGATTTAACCCAACTGTCAGTGAGTGTGTGTTAGTGTGTTTGTGTGCGTCTGTATGTGTCTATGTGCCATATTGGGGTAGGGGGGCTCTATGCTGGAGGATTAGGGCGCATCCTTTCTGACACATTGGCAGGGTCAGAAGCTCGGGGGCAGCATGCACCATCGATTTGTTTCCTTTTTTGGGTTAATTCTGTGGTTTGACCGTCGCGCTCATGTGCGTGTGAGCGTCTGGAGCGAGGGCAAGCCGACAGATGGAGGCAAGCAAGTTGTGTCTGGTCAATATCATCACGGCCCAGCGAGCCCAAATATTATCTGGGTCCTGATCTCTATTTTTTCTGGGTTACACAATGTAAACAAAGAGAAAAAATAAACACGACAGAGGAGGGGTAAAAGCAGATGGTGTTGATGAAAAAGAGGGGAGAATCATCCCGATGTACCAGCATCACCAGGCAAGTGTGCTTGGGCTCCTGCTGCTAGCTAACCATGGCAACGATTGTTTGGATCTCTCACCTGGACTGTAACCACCAGGGAATGATTATTAGTAAAGTGGGGAGGATGGAAAAAAGAGAGGAAGAGTGGGAGAATAAGGGTGGAGGTGCTTCCAGATGATGACACAGTTGGTGTGTTGTTTGGCCAAACGCTGCCCTACAGTGACAGTAATGAAGCGAGCTGGCTGCTGGTGGGGGTTTATCTTCTTTTTTTTTTTTTGGCTAAAGTGGGCGATTAGTCTGATAGGTGTCTTGACACAGACACACAGCCAGACAGTGAAACATGGCAGCCTCCTGAGCAAGGACCCGCTGGTTCTACAATACAAAAGACTTTTTCTGAGTCACAAGAAATGAAACTATTAATTTAAACACACTTCTGCAGAATAAATTCAATTTCTTTGAAAAACTGCAGCAAAATATCACATAAATACCTCAGAAAATGCTGTATCATGGCAGTTTTAGGAATGGGTGCATTTCTGTTTACACACAAAGCAGCTTGAAGCCTAAAAAAACACCTTTAAAGTTTGTGTAAATGTATAAACACAAAGGGAAGGTTTTCTGTCACTTAATTAATGCTTTGTGCAAACTGTTGGATTTTTTGCAAAGTTGCACGACTCTTTGATTGAAATATTTGTAAGTTGTATAGGAACTGACCCAGCAAGTGGAACAGAAAGCACCAAATGGACAGAGTCCTGCAGTGACCACAAATTAGACAGAAACTCTGACTCACTGAGAGAAAAGGAAATGCGCATGTATGCACACACACACACACACACACACACACACACACACACACACACACACACTTACACATTGGGATGTAGACCAACAAATTACACCCTAATCACTGCATCTGCTCCGTGACTGTTATAGCTGAGCTCCACTGGCGGTGTTTCTCTCTTCCTTTCTTTCTTTTTCTCTTCTTTCTCCCTGTGAGCAAATATCCCACTGACTCTCCAGACTGGCTCAGTGCACAGCCCAAACACACACACACGCACACACACACACTAATGTACACATGCATATTCACACACAGTCACATCATTCTCCCACACCACAGCACAGACTTATTCCCTTGAATTCACAAAAACAAACTCTACTCTGCCTTTTCCTACACACACACACACACACACACACACACACAAACACAGAATTGCACAGACTGATTTGCTCACATACCTTAAAACCAAAACAAAATTTTGTCTTGTTGCAGTCAGTTACACACACATATGCACACACACTAGTTGACAATGTAGACACAGCATTGCATTATCAGACACATGGAAAAAAACAGGTCTGCTAAACTGTCCTCCAAAATCCTCATGAATACTCACACACATGGACACACACTTGTAGATACAAAATCATGCATGCAACAACATTTACTCTTCCTCATTTTTTTCTCTCTCACAAGTTTACACGCACATACATACAAACTAGCACCCAAGCATACACACAAACTACAACATGCACAATCTTTGCCGCCCTTTCATTTTTGCGTTCACTCACACACACACACACACACACACACACACACACACTTTTGCAGACAGGGCTTCTCACGAACAAGAAGTGCACACAAACTCGTACAAGCATTGATGCACAGACTACACTTTGAACACACTCACTCTTTCACTCTTTGCATTCCATCACTTATGCATACACACGCTTGACCTTGCCTCAAATTAACACACACACCAACTCACACACACACATACACACACAACTACTTCCTCTGCATAAACAGAATCACAAATATGCATGCACTAAAGTTTTTTTGCATTTACACACAAAATATTCACAAGGCCACACTTGCAGACTCTGCCTAACATTAACATTACACCAGCACACACACACACACACACACACACACACACACACACACAATTGATGACATGAGGTGCCTGGCGGGGGGCGGTTTTGATTGACCAAGTGCTTTATGACTCTGAAATGGCTTCATTGCCTTCCTACTTAACCCACACACACCACCCACTTCCTCTTTGTCTCACACACACACACACACACACACACACACACACACACACACACACACACACACACACACACACACACACAGTCCTCAAGTCCTCAGGCTTTGTCAGAGACTGGGAATTAATGAGAGCCATCTCTAACCACACACACTCTCTCATTGCCACCCAGCTTGCGATGTGAGCTCCCTCCTCTAGTCTGGGACTTATCAAGGTCACCCCACAAATCAAAACCAGAGTCCGTCCCTCCACAGCTGTGTTGTTTTCCCCCTTCACCTTGATTTGTTCCTTAAACTTTGGGAGGGGGCCAGAGCTGTAGGAAGCAGATCGATACTGGAGATTGGACTGATTGATTTTAACTGGCAGAACACCAGAAGGAAGGGGGGCACAGGAGGTGAACACCATCAGAATGATGAGACGAGAGTTTGACAGATATTAGAGTTTGATGATCGAGGCACAGTTCGACAAGGGTACAAAAGCATGCATTACACCCTCCTTTGAAATGTCTAACCTCAACTGATAGCATGCGATAAAATTATACTTTTGCCAAATCCTTTATGACAAGTACTGAAGTTTACAAATGACGACAGTGAGTCAGGTGGTGTCTAATACATCCAACATGCGTGCCAAAGCAGAGCGAATCACTGTCGACTGAGTTAGCACAGTTTGCCAAATCTATCCATAACGTTGCGGAAACAAAACTCAAGCCCAAATTACATACCTGGCTGTCACTGCTATGCCAGCTACCAGCACTAGATCAGACCACTGCACTTACTGGCCTCATCCAACCTCCTATATCAAACTTAAGCCCAAGGGGCATATTTCCTCAAGTGCAAGGAAGATATAGAGTCCTCACCATTTCTTGTACCTCATCTTGGATCCCTATTGCCAAAGTATTTATGACCATTTTCAGACCAGAAACAGCGCTGTCCAGCTGTCTGGTTTGAAAATGGCCCTAGAGTCATACTTGAGCACCCATGCCATAGAGGACACAGCTTTCACCTCATGTGCGATGGATGACGGTCCATTTACAGGAGCTGCAAACTGTTTCTTTATTTGCACAAGGTAATCTTGAGACTCAGCAAGAGTACCTGCTGATTTTGGCACATTTCAGGGTTGTTTGAGGAGTAGGTTTGGAGGGTATTCTTGTAAGTAACTTCACCTTTACAGCAGAGCATAATGACGGCATTAAAGAGGGAAAACAGCAAAAATTGTGATGGTTGTCAGACTGCTTTCTGTCTGCACTCTACATGTTGTAAACCAGTTAAACAGGTGAAACCTAATTGAAATACTTATGCCTCTTCTTGATTTCATTTATACAGTTACTCCTAGTTGATCACCAGCTAAATGCACACTAATTTTACATGCGGTTTGTTGAACTGTCCATGCGATGTTGAGACTGAGTTAATCTGGCCCTCTGACATCCATGTAAAGGTGTTTCTACCCTGATACGAGTGTGAGACTTGTGTTGAGATTTGCACCAACTCTTTTACTGTGAATAAAACTAAAATTAGGTCCTCACCTGCAGGTCTAGGCCAGAGAACAAGTGGTATCATGTTGACACAAACTACAGTTAACTGCATGTGTGTGCACGTGTGTGTGTATGTGTATGTGTGTATGTATGTGTGTGCGTCTCACCGCCTCCCTCCATCTGGCTTTCACCAGGAGTTCTTGTCACCTCTGAGCTGCTGAAGTGTGATGGCCTTGACAGTGTGTATGTTTGTGTATGAGCGTGCATCAGTATGTTTTTGTGCGCTTGTTTGTGTGTGTGCGTGTGCTTGTTTTATTGTGTGTGTGTGTGTACGTGTGCTGGTGTCACTGTGAACCTTCACCCTGACAGTGCGAGCAGCTGCCAGGCTGATGAACTTCTACCCCGAGGTTTCACAAACACAATTAACACTGACCTCCTGCCCAGCTCTTTAAACAGCTTGACATCCTGGAAATAGACCAAACTAAACACCTGTGGGAACACGTCACTGTTTTAGTCTTCATGTTCTGGACTCACAGGGACCTGCAGTTTGAAAAAATGCACTTCTTCCCAAATAAAACTGCATTTCCAAATTAGTTTCAATTTTTGAGACTGGAGGTTTTACTAATAATGATTATTTCTTGGAAAATGTGTGTGTTGAGTCTGGCGCCCCCTGTGGACAACATTATACCCCACATATTAAAGTAGTGGTATGCTGCTAACCCCTATAGCTTTTCATACTCTTCATATTCTATGGGATGGTTCTCTCTCAGATGATGAAACAAGTTAGCTGTCTGGCTGACATGACAACCAACTCCTTCCGGACATAGTCTGCTGGTTGTCGTCTTTTGAGCAGTTTTCATCTGATTGTCATTACAAAGTCAAATACTGAAAGTAAATACAGGGCTGTTTCTTCAGGCGTTCGGCTGACACCTACCCCCCTCCTACTGGTTTCAAGCATTCAAAATTACATCATATAAACTAGCAATCTTGTTGCTAATGGTCTTGTTTTTTTATTTGTCATTAAAAGGTATCAAAATGAGTTTAAGCCTATTTCGAGAAACTCAAAAAATCTTCACAGGAGCTTTAAGTCATTAAAAATTCTCCACGAGCCGGGCTATGACAACATCTAGCAATTAAATGTGAAGCCGCTGATACCAAGGCTGGAGTTTGTGTTTCATCCCTCGGCGCTGTTTGTACAGTTATTTTTAACTGCAGCCATGCAGACAGCTATGCTAGCTTTGCTTGTAGTGATGTGTGAACTCTGCAAAGCTTGTACAGAAAGGGCTTTCGAGGATTCTGCTCTCTCAACTTGTACTTAAGTGTTTTTGCAAAATGAGTGACAAACTCAATATTGTTTTTTTGCACATAAGTTATCACCTTGCATTAATCTGACAGTGATGCGACAGCAGAGCAGCATTCAGCTCACCTTAAATCACCTTCCCGTAGTTAAAAATAAACTCCTGCTGATGATGAGTCTGATCTGACTGTCCGGTAACTTTTGCGACAGCTGATGTCAAACTAAATCTCCCTTACAGCAGAATCGTCCACTAACAGGTGAGGCTGCAGAACTTCCTGAGTGAAGATAATCATGGTAATGAAGCTTAAAAGTTTGGATTGTCTGAAGTCTGAGTCTATGACTCCGCTCCAAGTGAACTGCTTGAGTTTATGTGTGTGTGGGTGTGTGTATAAGAGTGTGAGTGAGATGTGTAGGCTCATTGGCAGCACTGTTGGACCTGAGGACCCATCAGCAGAACGCACGACTGTCTGTCTGCCTCACTTTTGATGTCTGAATGTGAAGGTTTCTCTGATAGTCACACACATACATTAATAAATAAATGCACGCGCAAGCCACCGGTTTTGCCATTTTGGCAAATTTGGGGATTTTCGTAGAGTGACAGATTGATGGAAAGGGAATGACTTTTTGTGTTTGTGTGTGTGTCTGTGTGTGTGTCCCTGGTTCAGTGCGCTTCAGAGGACGTATGCACTCTGCTCATAAATAAAGCCCATGCATTATTCACGGCTGCTCCTCCAGCTAATGCCCCTTAATGTGCCCAAACAGCCATAATGTACTCTGCTACCAAGGTGGCATAGACCCCCCAATACACAATTATGTACTCACACACACACACACACACACACGCACTTACACACACTCGCCTGTGGATTTGACACAATATCTTTGTCAGAGTCGTTCTCTGGCTCTTATCTCGCTCTCAAATTGTCGCATGTTCCTAATTTTCTACCAAAAATCCATTTAACTTCTGATCCTCTTTGCTCTCATTCACGCTGTCTCGCCATATTTGCATCAGATTACGTCCCTAATTCGCCACCATCACTGTCTCCCTTCCCCTCTCCTCCCCCATGCACCTCCTCACTTTCAGAGAATATGTCTAAGTAGAGTTTTTAAAAACCTACATCTCTTCCTCTCTGCAGGCCCCAGGGTGCTGGCTTTCAGCAGAATTAAGGATTTTGTCTTAACGTGGATTTATAGCTGTGAATCTCTGTAAGAGCATAATCTTAATCTGTTTTTGGGGGGAAATTAATCTGATTCCATTTAGAGGTAAATACCAAACAGTGTGAAGGGGAGAAAGAAGCTCTGAAAGACCATGAAATCACTTTGAGGAGGAAAGTTTACACTGCTGCTTTGCTTGTCTGCATTTTATCGACAGTATTTTATGTCCCAATCACTTTGTAATTGATTTAACCTCTTCGCCATCTCTGGTTTTAATTGCTTTGGCGGTTTGGGATCCTCTTTTACTGAGCACTTTAACTCTTCTTGATTGTCCTATAACTCTGGTTTATTCTTTTAATTTGTAATAAGAAGTGATGCATGTATGAGGCATTGTTTGATTTCTCCCTGGAGGCCCTAAGAGGGGCGCTCTGAGAAATTAGCGTGTTTTATTTCAACCATCTCAAACATTTTGTAAAAACCACTTAGTGTTAATTGCCCCATTCAGCAATGATGTCAAGTGGCACTGGAGGTTTCATCACTTTTGGGATACGAAAATCTGTGTAAAATTAGGGTCAAATTTTCCAGCTTTACAGGGTCAGATGCACGTTTTAAAGTATTTGTTACTGTCAAACAATACTTTTTTGGCAGGTCTCTGTTCTGAGAGCTCCCTGTCCTTCTAGCTGCAGCAGTGGGAGCACACTTCCCTTTAATTTCATGTGCATAGATGAAAAGCTAAGGCAGGGAGAGCAGCATCAAAGACCCTAACGACCAGAACAGAGCTGTTTGATGAGAATAAAATCAGACGTTGCACGAATGAAGTAGCTGGAGTAGTGCTTTGTCAGTTTGATATGAACCTTTTACTTTTGACTTGTCAGCTAAACCACATATACTCCATTTTCAAATCAATAAATTATCTTCAAATTAAAAATTTTCTGTCGTTCATAGCTTCAGTTTGCAGCCGGGTAATAAGCATGACAATGCACGTTGATGAGCAGATGATTATTTTTAATAAATGCCCAACAGGGACGACAGGAGCCCAGTGATAAGGGTCTTGTCGTACCCTGAAGGGGTTCTAATTAGCATAATCATCTGCTCCCTGTATATTATCCCTACCTTGCCATGGTAATGTGCAAATCTTATTCTCCCCCTATTTTGCATTTGTAACTTTTGATGTTGTACTTCTTCATCTTCCCTAATTCAACCATTAAAGCGCTGAACAATCCCACTGCACACAACGTGGCATTGCACCGTGTCATGTGGCACCATGATTCGCCACATAACAAAAAGCGGGAATGTGCCGTGAGAGATGGTTTACCTCACTACTAAGAAACAATCGAACCAAGTGTTAACATGCATAATGACACAAACAACAGACGGCATAATCCACCTGTCTTCACTGGAATAGGTCATACCAGAACTTTACCTTCTGATGGAGATGTTCACACAAAGTACTTTGACCCTAAACAGACTTTCATTTGTCCAACAAAAGGAGACAGTCTTGCGCTTCGGCTTGAAGAACACTGCAGGATCGGTGCGTCACAGTGTAGGCAAGAATAGTAAGATCCAGCAGTAATTAGCAAGTAAACTGACGTTTCGACACTACACGTGTCTTGACTCTGAGGAGGACACCTGTACGTCAGTTACTTTGCTAATAAAACTGCTTAAACGCATTATGTGCTCTGGATCTTTCCTCTTCAGACTTTTATTTGTGTTTATGCTTATAACTTCTTCTGGTTGCCTCCTAGTGGCCAAAAAACCTGTCTATTATTGGACATATCTTTGTTCTGGGGAGTTTGTGGCTTATTTAAAACCATTAAGCCAATTCTGAATACACCTTTGAGTATGATTCATAGAGTGATCCCTTTGTTCTTCAGATGATCCACATCTCAGTGTAACATTAACTTCTCACATGATACTGATTGCTCACTGTTTGTTTTTAGACACACAAAACACACACCCCTCGTTCAGCGCACATACACACAAACACAAAAGACAATGAATCCATTCATCCCTCAGCTCTCTTTCTCTCCTCCTCCTCCTCCTCTTCGTCTGCTCACATCAGCTCTTTAAAAACACGCTGAAGGTCAAAAACACAAAACACAGCATGTCTGTCCCCCTGCAGCCTCTCTGACCTGGATCTGCTCGGCTTGTTTCGTCTCTTTACAGCCCGTCTGAGCACCTCAGACACTCAAGAGGAAAAGTAAAGAGAGGAGAGGTACCGTTGATCATGCTGCAGACCCACTTTACCGATTACTCAGGAGGGAGTGTCGAGATAAGTGCTGCGGCTTCGTTTTAGCTCTAATGTTAATGTTCACAGTTCGGTTAAATCATGCTGTAAATTAGTAGACAACACGTCTGCAAGATGATTGATTTTTTTTTTTATCTGTTGCCAGATAACCTTTTTTTGCAGTGATTTAAAGGGAGGTATCCAATTCACCATAATGCCAAAATTTGCACATCAAAAGAGGACTTTCGATTTTTGGTATTTGCTCGGAGACCAAATTAGACAATGACAATGAAACTTTTCTGCCTTGTAAAAGACTAAGTGTGCCTTACAAAACTAAGACAAACTCAACAAAACAAATATAAAAAATACATATATACAGTATATTGGGATTTTTACAACAGTATAGTTAGGATTTAGTCAAACTTGGACTTAGCATGACTATCATCTAATTAATAAAACTATATGTATACACCAGAAAAAAAACTCAAATGAAGATGATGAGACTGAATGGAGCAAGACAGATTTCCACACTTGACTCTGGTTGTAAAATTGGAAAGTTTGGACAGGATCAAACTATTGTGTGTGGTTTGGAAAAGTATGCCACTAGTATGAAAACCTTTAATATGCGATAAATATGAGTTAACCAACCTTTAACATGCCATTACTTAGAACATAATTTTTTGTTGCATTGTATTGAGTCGTACTACATGACACTACAACTCTGTTATATTTTGTTGCATTACATAATGCGTTAATTTATTTTATGTTGCAATGAACAACATAATGTTACATTGTGTTACATTATGGTACAAAAGGTTATGTTACGCTACCATTGATGTTGTGTTACATTTTCTTGCATAACATAATGCCATGTCATGTTACGTTACATTGCATTACGTCACAACATTACAATAAGATATATGGCGTTACCAAAGTTACGTCACGTTATCCTAATTCATTTCCCCGCCATTGACAAGTCAAGTTACCCTAAGTTAAGTTACCTTATGTTTAAACCAGTAAGACTGGTTTGTGCTCAAGTCCTCTTTTTTCTGTACAGCTCCATTTTTCAAAGTTATTAGGGGGTTCATGTTTTTCTATGATTGACACTTGATAAAGCCTATGGGCGTACAAGGATTGCGTAGCTCACCCGAGGGATACGATGTTTGAGCTGAGTGTCATCGCAGTGACTCCTAGCGACTCTCCCGCTGAATGCGTACATCGCTACTGCGCAAGTGGTGGTTTCGGTAAATGGAGAAAAACGCGGAATTACCGAGAGCTTTCTGGCTTCAAATCCGTATACAGGTGGGAGGCAGAACCAAGTTGTCCATAGTATAAAAACGGTCTATGGTTACAGCACACTAGGATTTGTTGCGTAACATCCAGCTATGGGATGTTTACCTTCGGTTACATTGTGTTACCCTTAGTTACCTTACCTTATGTTCTGTTACCGTAGATAATTGCTACGTCAAATTTTCTTATGTTTTGTTACGTAAAGTTACAATATGTTACAAGACATGACAATACATTATGTTGCATGATATTAGGTTAGGTTGCAGACAAAAACTACTTGACTTTGTTAGGTACCAACCTAGCCAAGTCCAAAATGGTAATAGACTTAATAATGTCTTCTTGTGCACACCATACACGTTACAACACATCTGAGACACAAACTAATGCTTAATGCGAGCATCCAAAACCACATGCTGGTTTCAGAAAGAAAGATTGATGTGAAGTTCAAATATCTACTCATGTTCATATTTACAAGTGCTTTAGACTGCAAGACCGGTAGTCAATCTGGTGACTCTGAACTGAGTCTACGTTTTCTGCAAATATCTCTGCAGCATGCTGTTAAACATTTATCTTACACTTACCCTGAAGCATGTTTAAGGCATAAGTAAGAACAATACTGAAGTAACCAGTCCAACTCTGATTGATTCTTCCAAAGCTCGATATCAATTTCAGTCTCTTTTACTAAACCTTTTTTAGACTCCTAGTCTCATGGAATAAATACACCTAAATTACTCATTTTAAATCTTTGTTGGTGTAAAACCTCAGCTAGCCACAAAAGTCATCAAATCTGTCTCGTGTCTCGTGTGCACGAGTCCTAGAATCTCCTTAGTTTAAGTCTCTGAGATGTTCAGAAGTGTTTTTATAAGATTGTAAAACTTTTCCTCTGTAGACCATCTTCTTTTCTCCTCTACATCACCCATAAAGTTTAAGTACAGCCAGCACAGATCGCAGCAAGTTCATTCACATTAATAAAGGAGCTTCACCTTGTTCGTTTTTCTCTACATGTAAAACCTAAAAGCACTAAAATGAAGCAGTTTTACTCCTACATCTACACTAGTGCTCACTTTAGATTGAAATAAAAATATAAGTGTAGGGACTTAAAGTGTTGAAAGAAAATGCAAACTGCTCACAGACAGAAAAAAACAACTACAACATTAAAGATATCTTACCTTATTTCAGTGTTTTCCTGATAATCTGCACCTCCTCCTCCTTCTTCTTCTATTATCTTCTCCTCTCCTCCTCCCCTACTCTCTCTCCTCAGTTTTTCTTCAGCTCTCCGGGCGTCGCTGAGGAGGTGTGTGTCTAGTCTCAAAGTGTGTGTGTGTGTGCATGAGTGTGAGTGTGTGTTAAGGCTGGTTAGAGAGCGACTCTGCTTTGTGCTGCCGACCTCAGTGAGCGTGTTGTTGCGACTGACTGAGTGACTGAGAGAGAGAGAGACAGAGGGAGAGAGAGAGAGAGAGAGAGATTAGTTCACACACAGACATCCCCACATCAGGGAAACACCCCCTCTCCTCCTTTTTTCTTCCCTTCCTCACAACAAATCTTCTTTTTCCTTTCCTCTAATCACCTTTTAAGGAAGACAACATTTTCCTTTCCTTCTTCCTCTCCTCCTTTTTCTTGATTCTGTTTTTCACCCCTTCTTTTGTTGTCTTTCCTTGTGCTCGTGCTTCATAAATAAGTTACTGAGATCTGCCACAAAACAGCACCACAGCAACAAAACAACTCAAATACCCTCTGATTTCCCTCTTAAATCAGTAAAAAGACACAATAATTCATCTGCACTTGGTGTTTTTTCTGCTTTTACATCCAGAAAAAGAGATTAAGCTAAAAAGTGAGACAGAAATTGGAGAGAGGGAGGAATATTAAAGTCTTTCAGATAATTTCAGAGACAAATCACTCGTTAATAATTATGTCTGACTCAGTCGTGCTCTGCAAAAGTTTCTGTTAAAGATTACAAAGTTGAATTTCACTTTTTTTCAGATTTAAAGGGCCATTTCAATTTAGACACTTTAATAAATGCCTTTCACAGCAAAAGAAGATATAAAAGAAGAGTTGTATTTTACAATCTTGATGTGGAGAGGACGACAAAAAGCTGCCCTGACGCTTTGTTTCCATTTGACTGGAGTTAATAAGTGTGTAGAGGCCCATTTTTTGCTCCCCTTAAAATCTAGAAAAAAGATTCATATGTTCACTCTCTCTCATGTGTCCTATGCGGTCTCCTCTTAAATACAAATGCTGATTAATAAAGAGAGGAGAGTCAAAAGTTTACTGTGACAGCGACAAATATGGCAACAACAGAGGAAACATTATTACTGTGTCTAAAAGGAAAGGGGCAAAATCCTAGTCAAAATTGGTCCGACACCAATGTCGGATATTAGACCTTCATTTTTTTTTTTTATTGTTGGATTATTGTCGGAAACTGTGATCAGGTCACTCTATTTATGTTTATACATTATTATATTTTATACCGTCTGAATCAAATAAACCAAAACCAAAGCTGTTTTTTCCTGTCTTTCCTGTTCTCCTTTTACCATTTTGAATCGATTATTGGAAAAGCCTTTCATTTTTTTAGTTTTGAACCTAAAACAAAAATTTTTTTTAAAAAGCCATGTGGCCAATTTCTTCTCCAATTCCATACTCTTTAAATCATTTTACATTTTGGTATGATGCGTAAAAAGCAGTAAGACTAGGCGGAAGTGAAGATATATAATTTTCAGAATAAAAGCCAAAATGATATCAAGTGTCCCCCTTGTTTTTGCTTCAAAATAAAACCACGGGACCTTTTCAAGTTCAACTTGAAACCGAACAGGAGAAAAGGAAAGTCGAGAAGATAAAAAAAACTGCTCTGATTTTAGTTTATTTGGTTTCAAACAGAAGTTAGAAAAACAGTTTTCTGGATGATGCATTGGTGGGTTGACATTCTCTGGCATGTATGCAGATCAGTCGGACTACAACTGCCCTAACCGCTCCTTGCATACTCCAGCGTTTTCATGCCAGACTTTAATCTGGAAGTTGAATTGCGAGACTGTGGTCTTAGAAAACCGGGTAGTAAACAAAACCTGGACAGACGAAGAAAGGACGGGCAGCAAGACCTGCTATCAAACCCCCTGACCTTCTGATTGGGGGACGACTGACTCCACTGAGCAACAGCCGGCTCTCAAAAATAAACATAAATAACTTCTTTACAAGCATTAAAAACGTTGCATCCATTAAAATGAAAGGACTTCATTACCAAGAAAATGACTCAATGAAAAGAGGTTTTTTAACACAGTGTTCAAAGTTCATGATCCAAATCACAGCCTGAACGTCTTGTGATAAAACGGATGCTGAGAACAAAGCAGAGCGCCTGACTGAACACTGACAGCTAATACACAAAGACAGCAATCAGTTTAACCTTCAGGAGCCCCCCACTCAGTTTGGTTTAAGCCCATCACAGCGATTACAGAATTTAGCTTTAGCCTCTCTGCTAATCTGCTCCAGATCCACATTAAACTGCTCCTCAGGAGGAGGAGCACGGGGTAAGGGGGTGGGGGGGTTGTGGGTTTACAATAACAGAAAGCAACACCTCCTGGAAGTATTTGGACTCGTTTGTTTTCAGCTCTGCACTTCAGCTCATGATGGTTAAATTGAACAAAGACTCAGGGTAAACTTCAGACTTTTAGCTTTAGCTCGACTCTGTTTACATTCACATCTAGGGACTGTAACCCTTTTTATTCATAACAACCCCAGGAGCAGGAGGGACTGTAAGTCTGTCTGCTCATCAAATATGGATGTAAACAAGCTCCAACAGCCTGGAGCTGAAAATTGGTACTTTAACCTCATGTTCAACTATGTCTCTCAAAATTAAATACTGTATACAGCAGGAAAAGCATCAGAGGAGCTTTTTTCTTTCTTTCTTTCTTTTTTTTCATTAAACAAAATCAGATCCTTTCTACTGTGCCGTATTTGTATTTGGTCTTTCTTACTGTCATTACTGCCTGGAGTAGAGTAAGAATTTTATACGTATGTTTCTGACTATTTACTATATTTTTGTCTAAAGTCTAAATGCTTCAAAACAAGATGAAGGTTTAGTTGGAGATGCATGGAGTATCCTCTCGCACCTCACATACAACTCTCTCTACTAATAAAAAGCAGCCCAGGACTTTTATTTTGGTAGATGACTTTTATTTTGGTGGCTAAACTTCTGACACCAAAAATTTCAAGGAGATGTATAAGTTTTGTTCATATGTGAATACAACTTATAACAATATATGATTCAAAATTCAATCTATACGGCATCTAGGCTCAAAGTGTATCCAAGAACTTAAGCAACATGGTGTTACATTTTGGATTGAATTCATAGAGTTATTTCATTGATTTATAGAATAAACCAGAGTGTACTGTGGTCTTTTCATGGCATTTGTTGACTTTAAGTGTAATAAAGTCTCCGCATTCATTCCTTAGGGTACCAGGATGATAACCTTCTTGACCAAAATTTAAAAAATAAGAGTCTTTCAACATAAAAAAAACATTTTTCGTGATATTTATATGGTGGCCCAAAGGGTCAAAGTGCACAAAAATTTCTTCAAACTGAAAAACACAAATAATTTCATGAAATGCAAAGACACATTTTTCTAAAAAGAACTTCAATATGTAATTTGACCCAAAAACTATTCCTCATATATATTCATATTTTATAATTTCAAAACATTTCACAGAAAACAAAAGCATCTTTAAATGTCCAATACGGAAACATTTACTTGATGCTTATCTCTATAATGCATTATAAATATATAATGCATTAAAAACGTGTTATAGCACTGTATAACTGTAGTTATAAACACTTATAAATGATCATAATGCTTTATAGCAAAAATCATAACACATTACAAAGCATTTTATCATGACTTACAAGGTCAGGTATTATAATGTGTTACAATTATTGCTATAAAGCATTGTGATTATTTATGAATGTTTATAACTATAGTTTTACAGTGCTATAACATGATGATAATGCATTATACATATATTTATAATATTTTATAGGCGTCAAGTATTACCTAAAGTACCTTTATATCAAATAAAGTACTCAATTTGAATTTTCAAAACTGATTAAACAATACTCATTAATCTTTTTCATCATAAAATATTTTGATTTTCTGCCAAAAATAATAATAAATTATTTTAATAAATATTAAGATACATAAAAACATTTAACAAAACGCTTAAGCTTTTCATAAAAAAGAAAAAATATTTCCACAAATAATGAAAAGCATTTATTGCTTCATGGAATATTCTAAAAGTTTTGAGTATTTTTGCAAAATATGTTACTTTTTAATTATTTTTTTTATTAAGAAAAAGTTTTAGGGATTTTGTGAAATGTTGTTACTAGCAGGGAAATATTTTAGTGTTAAGTAAAATCATTTTTTAGTTAAAAAAAATCCAAATCCAAATGCTTGTGCTGTGGTCTTTTAGGGCCTCCTTACTTGACCCTTCAGTCTTGTAGTTTTCTGAGAAAACTTTCGTCATTGTAACTTGAGTGCAGCTGAGGGAAGCTTGGATTTCTGAACACATTTTGTAGAGTCAGTGAGCAAATTTGTTTGACGAACACAAATTTAACAACGTGTTTCGTACGTGGCAGGGTTTCATTAAAAGTCTAAGTCACATTTGTTTTTATTTTATCTAAATGCCAAACTTCCTCATATGAAAGTGACTTTTTAAAGCTGTTGATGGATTGATGATGTTTGTGAAGCGTTGAAGTAAAACGCCCCAAAAAACGACAATGCCTCCAAGCTGATACTTACAACTGTATATCTTTATTCCAATGTGCGTGCATGTGTGCGTGTGTGTGTGTGGATGTATGTCAACGTGGGGGTGGGAGATAAGTGACCGAATTAGGAGAAGCCCCCCATCTCAGCGAACAAAGCTCCTCCACCAGCTGAAATATGGAGAGAACAAGCCTCTGCTATCTCTTCAGTCGAGGGTGCTTTTCTCTCTTTTTCTCTCCAAAACAAAAAGCTCACCCCCTGTTGAGTTTCTCAGCAGGGGGCTTTCACTCACTGAGCCATCTTCCTCTCCCTGGGAGACCCCTGGGAGACGCTCACCCAGCTCTCCACCCCTCCTCTCTGCTACTCCCCCCTTGTTGTCGCCCCTCCCCTGCCTCCCCCTCAGCATCTCTCTCCTCACTTCCCTGCCTCTAAGGCTGAAGTTAACTACCTCTCTGATCTGACTCTCTGATCATTTTCCTCTTCATTTTTCTCATTTCCGTTTGTGCACAGGTCTTCCTCTCCTCCCTCTCCATGCCTCTTCCCCCTCTCTTGACCTCCTCACACTGTAACCTCCCTTTTCTGGTCTCTGACTACCCTCTTCCTTTAACATCTTCCTAGAAACACTACCTTTCTCCCCCTCTTCTTATACCCTCTGTTTTTCCTCTCTCCTTCCACG